CCAGCTCTACAGCTGTGGGCTCCTCCTCCGAGACCCCCACGCCGCCCGACTTCCGGCTTCAGTTCCCACCCGGCCAGGGGCCCCACAAGCCCCCCAGTCCCCCAGCGACCCTCCATCTAGTCCCTGAGCCGGCGCCTCCCCCACCGCCTCCTCGGACCTTCCAGATGGTGACTGCCCCCTTCCCGGCGCTGCCCCAGCCGAAGGCTCTTCTCGAGAGATTTCACCAGGTAATCGGAGGAGGCAGGACCAACCCATCGCCCAGCACCCTCCGCAGACCCCTGCACCACCCCACCCCACCCCCCTCCGACCAGAGCCCCTCCCGCTTCCTGGCTTGGTGTCCATCCCCACCCCGTGCACCTGGCTGTTCCCACTCCCTGCTTGTGCCCCCCACCCCTCAACCACCTGTCCGCTCCTCAGGTGCCGTCCGGAATCATTCTCCAGAACAAGGCCGGGGGAACCCCTGCTGCCCCACAGACCTCCGTCAGCCTGGGGCCCCTCTCCAGCCCCACTGCCTCTGTGCTGGTCAGCGGGCAGGCCCCATCCGGGACCCCTGCCACCCCCAGCCATGCCCCTGCCCCGGCACCCATGGCCACCGCAGGTAGGGGAGAAGTAGCCCATGCAGGAGAGATGGGGGGCCTGAGGAGGGTGGGTAGGGGTTGAGAGATGGGGTGGGCTGGGAAAGAGTGATGGGGTGCATGAGCCCAGGGGGTCACCTCAGCCTCATGGGACAAGTACGATGGAGGCCATTGGCAGGACTGCCTCCCAGATCCAAGGGGTTTCCAGGGCCAGTGTGGCTGCCACAGTTGGATAACCAAGAGGAGAGGGAGAGGCACGACTGGGGTCATGTTTGGGGAGGTTTCGTACCAGTGAGCTCTGAGCCCTGTCTGCCCCCACCCCGTCCCCAGGCCTCCCTCCTCTGCTTCCTGCCGAAGGCAAAGCCTTTGCCAACAACCTCCCGACCCTGAGTGTGGCCAAGGCCGCCCCATCTGGGCCAGGGAAGTCCTCCGGGCTGCAGGTAAGAGGCCCCAGAGCAGGGCATCAGGGCAGGGCTGAGGCATCGTCAGGGAACCAGGATGGACGTGGGGCCAGCAGGGGTGAGGGGACCAGGACTGTCGAACAGATGAGACACCGGGAGAGTTGGTCAGAGACAGCGGAGGCAGGGAGCAGCCGAGAACTACTGGACAAGGTGAGGTGGTATTCCAGTACAGACAGGAGAGGCCGTTGAGGTGCCGCCAACAGTTGGACAAAGTCAGGTGATGTTCTGATACAGCCAGATAGCAATGAGATGGATAGGTGTAATGCCGGGAACCACTGGACACAAGTCAGGTGACATACCAACACGGCCAGAGAGCTAGGAGGGGCAGGTGACATTCTGGTACAGCTGGACAGAGACGGGAGGAGCAGGAGAGGCCGACAGACAATTGTCAGAGATGGGCCGATGATACAAAACCAGCTGGTGGACGAAACACCAAGACAGGCCCAGTGGGGGGCATGTGAGAGACCGTGACAGTTGGACAGTGAGACACCAAGACAACAGGACCATGACATGTGAGATGGGGCAGAGCAAGACACCGAGACAGTCGGAGAAGGGGCAAGGCGAACTACAAGATGGTCAGCTCAGGACAGACAGGCAGACGAGAGACACCAGAGCAAGGAGACAGTGTGAGACTCCGGACGGGGAGACAGTCCCCCCAGGGCAGGGGTGGTGAGACCCTGGAGAGTCCATCAGAGACAGGCGAGCATGGCGAGGTCCGGGGCAGTTGGACAGGGACTGGGGAGGCGAGAGAGCACCCGTCTGAGATGGGGGAGATGAGAGGAGGGGCGCACGTCAGTGAAAGTAGATGTGAGACAGGGAGGTGGGTCAGAAGGGTGGGGACCATCAGTGGGACAGCGGAGCAGGACAGGACCCCAGAGGGCGGGAGAGGCTCAGAGACAAGAGAACAGAGATAAGGGGAGATGAGACAGGGAAATCCAGATGGGGAGATTGAAGGGCAGGGAGAGAGAGACTGCGCAAATCAGAGCCAGACACCGTCAGACCATGGAGGAGAAGACAGGCCACCGGCAAGCAGAGAGGGACGCGAACCAGAGACAGATGCCAAGAGACCACCCCTGGGGAAGGGGACAGAGGGACCAAGGCAGAGGGAGCTATGGGCTGGGCCTGCTTGTCCCCTTCTCCTTGTGTCCCCAGCCTGGACCCTCTCCAGGTCTCCCTTGTGGATTCAGTTTGATGGGCAGGGGATCTCACCCATACCTGGGGCTAGGACCCACCTTGGTGAGAAGTTGGCCCCTGCTCCATCTTTGTCCCAGGCTGGAGGGAGAAAGGGGGTCCAGGCTCCAAGGGAAAGCTTCCCCATTGCAACACCTCTTTCTCTTCCAGTATGAGAGCAAGTTGAGCAGCCTGAAGAAGCCACTCACGCTTCAGCCCAGCAAGGAAGCCTGGTGAGTTGGTCCCACCACAGTGTACCCTGTCCTGTGCTTCCTTCACCCCAGCACCTTCTTAGTGGCCAGGGAGGGCCGTAGGGATCACCCTTCAGAAGTGTGGTTTGACAGGTCTGAGTACAAGCCCCAGCTGCACCTTATGTTACTTGTGTGTTTTGGGGCAATATCATTTCCCTTAGAGACCCTCACTTTGCTCCTCTGAAACATGGGCTGATAATGATTGCTGAAGGTTTTGATCGAAGATTCTATAGAAAAATCCTGATCAAAAGAGGGGAAAGTGAGGAACAGAATTTCAAATTTTCTTGGAATCTAGAATTTCTGAAGCCATTGAGGCTGCATGAACCCCTGAAAATATTGCCCTGAGATAATCTTTAAACCTTAAACCAGAAATATCCCGTGAAGTATTTTTTAAACCAAACAATAGTTGACCTAATTAGTAAAGAATGCCTGCCTTGAGCCTCATGCACTTCTAAAGAATTTTCTATGTGGGATCAAATTGACAACAGCAACTTGAAAGGTTAGATAGGAAGCTTGGGGGAAGTGAGTTTATGTTAACAGGGGAGGAATAATTTGGAAAAGGGGGGTGAGAATGGTTACATAACTCAGTGTAATCAGTGTCACTGAATTGTACATGTAGAAATTGTTGAATTGGTGTATGTTTTGCTATGTATATTTTCAACAGCAACAACAACAAAATAAAATATAAACAGGCTGGTAATGGCAGTGATACTAAGGTGGTGGAGGTGAGGATCTGAGGAGACTGTGTGAAGAGCATTTGTGAGGCTCCAGTAGGATGCTCGCTTCAAGAGGGCAGGATTTGGTCTGTCCTGGTCACTGCTGCACCCTCAGTATCTAAAGCAGGGCTGCAGCATACTCAGTGCTTAGTTTTTTTGGATCTGGGGTAGAGGAATGGATGAAATGGTATTGGGCAGATGTACTGATGGGTGTTTGTAGTAGTGGATACATGCTTGGGTGACTGGGTGAATGGATTGATGCATGTTTTGAGGGGTAAAAATGAGTAGGTGGAGAGATGGATGCCTATTGGGTAGGTGGGTGGGTGGATGGGTGTTTGGACGGATGGCTATTTGGTTGGACAGATGAGTGTTGGAGGGATGATGGATGGATATTTAGGTGAATAAATAGATTGGTGTTTGGATGGATGGGTAGGTGGATGGGTGTTTGGTGGGTAGATGGATGGATGGGTGTTTGGATGAATGGATAGATGAGAGTTCGGGTGGGTGAGTGGATGAATGGCTGATGGATGGGTGGATGGATGGATGGAGGTCTGGTGGGTTGATGGCTGGATGATGGATGGGTGTTTGGGTGGATGGATGGATGGGGGGTGGGTGGGTGGATAGATGAATGATGGATGGGTGTTTGGATGGATGGTTGGGGGTCTGGGTGAGTGGATGGATGGATGATGGATGGGTATTTGGGTGAATGGATGGATAGGGTCTGGGTGGGTGGATGGATGGATGGATGACGGATGGGTATTTGTACGGATTATTGGGGGTCTGGGTAAGTGGATGGATGGATGATGGATGGCTATTTGGGTGAATGGATGGATGGATGGGAATTTGCGTGGTGGATGGGTGTTTGGGTGCATGGGAGGTCTGGGTGGATGGATGGATGGGTGTCTGAGTGGGTAGATAGACGGACAGATGCATGTTTGGATAGTTGGATGGGTACATGTTGGGTGCTCAGCTGCCTTCCCTCCCTCTCTTCTGCCTTCCTTCCACGACAAGTGTTTATTAAGTACTCACTTGGTGTCCAGTCCTGTGCTAGTTGCTGGGAACACAGTACTAAACAAGACAGACCCTGCCTCTGCCCCCATGGTGTGCGGGAGCTGCTGGTCTTCAGCAAAGGGTGAAGACAAGCACGTTTGGTAGGAGAGATGGACAGTCACGTAACGAAGAGACACTACCCACTGTAAAAAGTGCTGTGGTAGAAAAACAGCACAGTGAGAAGACTAGAAGCCTACCAGCCAACCAACCTCCCCCTCTCACTCCCTGTCTCCTTCCCTTCTTCACTTCTGCCTCCTGCCAGAGTCAGGGTGGGGACAGACTGACCCCCGGTGGCAGGAGACAGTATGACATCAAACATGAGCTTTCGGATTCTGGAGTCTGACTCCTAATTCTGTCCCTTCCTAGCTTTCCCTACTTTGGGGCCGAGTAACTTCACTTCTCCGAGCCTCAGTTTCCTCATCTGTGAAATGGGGATAATGATAGCACCTACTTCTTGTGGTTGTTGCCAGGGTTTCAGTGAGACAAAACAGACATGCTTACCAGACCTTAACACGTTTCAGAAGCGCTAGCTTTTCCTTATTCTTGTTGTTATACCGGCCTGGTGCTGAGGGTCCAGGATTTGGTTTGTCCCGTGCCTCACCACCAGCTCTGTGTGTGTGTGTGTGTGCGCACGCGTGCGCGTGTGTGGTCTCTCCCCCCAACCCCCAGTTTCCTGGAGCATTTGCACAAACATCAAGGCTCCGTCCTGCACCCTGACTACAAGACAGCCTTCCCCTCCTTCGAGGACGCCCTCCATCGCCTCCTGCCCTACCACGTCTACCAGGGCGCCCTTCCCTCCCCCAACGAGTACCACAAAGGTAAGGCCTGCCCAGGGCTCTCCCCACAGGGTCCCAAAGGTCCCCCATCCCTGCAGCCAGCCCAGGTGTGCGGGGGTATTTTCTGGTATTTGGCAGAGGGTGGAGATGGGCATGTACATGCCCAATTGTGTGCACACTCTCAGCCACATGTATGGATTCAGCTCTGTGTGTGAGCTCAACTGTGTATGCACTCAGCTGAGTGCATGCTTAACCATGTGCATGTGCTCAGTTGTGTGTGCCAGCTCAGCTGTGCATGCTTAACTGTGTGTTAACACACGCTCAACTGTGCGTGCACTCAGCTCTGTGTGTACATTCAACTGCGTGTGCGTGGTTGACTGCGGAAGCACCCGTGGCGACAGTGTGCCAACTCCACGTGTGTACACGGGGCTGCGTCCCCTCCAACATCCTCCCTCTGGCTCTCTTCTCTTTCCCTGCAGTGGACGAGGAGTTTGAGACGGTCTCCACGCAGCTATTGAAACGCACCCAGGCCATGCTGAACAAATACCGCCTCCTGCTTCTGGAGGAGTCCCGGGTAAGGGCCCTACACCTCCTCCCTGCTGGTACCCCGCCCTTCCCCCTCACCCTGTCTGGACAGGAGGGGCCTCCCACTTACGTCAGCATTCGGGAGGCTGATGATTGGATCCCGAGAAGGGCAGTTTGGCAGCTCCTGCTGTCTGTCCCAGCACGCGCCTTTCCCCTCCTCACTTACCGTCTCTCCACTCAGCGGGTGAGCCCCTCAGCAGAGATGGTGATGATCGACCGCATGTTTATTCAGGAGGAGAAGACCACCCTTGCCTTGGATAAGCAGTTAGCCAAGGAGAAGCCGGGTAAGAGGGGAGGGAGGGGAGGGAGGGGAGGGAGAGGTGCTCCCCACCCCCACATATGTCCAGAATTCTTGACGGACTGGAGAGGGCGTGTGTGACCTTACCTCACTCCAGCACTAGGGGGCGCCCGAGCCCACGTTCCTGCTGTGCTGGTTTCTCCTGCTCGCCACCACAGATTGTCCCACGGGTTTAGTTCAACTACCTCCATCCCAGTGTGTCCATTTTATCCCCTGGGTCCTAGGATGGTGGGAATAGTCTGCCACCTCCCCTCCCCAACAGGGCATAGAAATGCAGAGCAGGGCCAGGATGAGGGTGAGGCAGACATGGCATCAAGGTTGCAAAATTTAAGATGGCGCTCACCCGCAAGTGCCAATTCTACAGTCACATGACCCTGAGAGTGAGTGCCTCCTTAAATTGTGCGCCTTAGGGGTCTCACAACCCTGCAGGGGAGAGTGCAGTTGAATCCAAACCGGTGTTTTTTCCGGAACATTCCAAAAGCCCTCACCCACTTTTAATGTTGACCAACTCCTAGCCTCCCTTGGAAAAAAAGGAGGTTCATTTTTCCTGTTCCTCCCCCCAAACCTGAGCCTTCTGTCCTGCTGTCCTTCAGTACTGGGCCTTAATTTTTTTATAAGTAGTCATTGGTAGTTAAAGGAGAAATGGGTGTAAAGGAGGTGGCCATGGTGAATGAGGGGCAGGGGACAATTCGGAAGTTTCGAGGGTGGGAGAGGTAGGATAGCATGGTGGTTGGGAGCATGGCCCAGAAGCAGACTACCTGAGTTCACTATGCCAGCTCTGCCACTTACTGGCTGTGTGACCTTGGGCAAGTTACTTAACCTCTCTGTGCCTCTGTTTTCTCATCTGTAAAGTGGGGGTCGTGATTCCAGTTTACAATCCCGTATCTGAAACCTTGGAGCCAGATATGTTTTGTAACTTTTTGATTCTAGAAAGGTAATTAGGTGCCTAGATTGTGTCTTTAACATGGCATCGGGGAGCACTTTGTAATCGAACATGTCCATACTTCTGCAGTGAAACAGATGGATATTCAGCTAAATGGAACACATCGAGACCAGGTCATTTCAGATCAAGGAGCCCTGGTGGCACAACGGTTAAAATGCTCAGCTGCTAACCAAAAGGTTGGTGGTTCAAACCCACCCAGCAGCTCCTTGGGAGAAAAGACCTAACGATCTGCTCCCATAAAGATTACAGCCTAGGAAACCCTATGGGGCAGTTCTGTGCTGTCACATGGGGTCACTATGAGTTGGAATTGACTCAATGGCGCCCAACAACACGTTTCAGATCAGATTTTGACATCGAATGAGATACAAAAACTTCTTTTTTTAATAGATTTTTAGAGCACAGTCCAGTAGTGCTTTCTGCAAGGATGACTATATACTTGCTGTCCATTACAAGAGCCACCAGCCACATGTGGCTTCTGAGCGTTTATTTGGATTGTGGCAAGTGCAACCAAGGAACTGAATTTTTTATCTGATATACTTTTAACTAATTCACAGTTAAATGGCCCATGTGGCTGTTGTTAGTTGCTGTCGGGTCGATCCCGACTCATGGTGACCCCACATGCGCAGAGTAGATCTGCTCCATGGGGTTTTCAAGGCTGTGACTTTTTAGAAGCAGATTGTCAGGCCTGTCTTCGGAGGCGCCTCTGGGTGGGATTGAACCGCCGACCTTTCAGCTAGTAGTCAAGCGCTTAGCTGTTTGCACCACCCAGGGACTCCCTCCCCATGTGGCTAGTGACCACCGCAGGGGCAGTGTGGTTTTAGAGTTCGGAGGATCTTGGAATTGCTGACAAGGGGCTGTGCCTAGCTGTGTGTCGTACAAGTCTGATGAATAGAGAGCTAGCCCAGCGGTTGGTATACAGCAGGTGCTCAGTGCACATCGGCTCTTATTAGCTCTGCTCCACACCTCATCCTCGTGCTCACCCCTGGGTTCTTTGTCTCCTGACTCTGCAGATGAGTATGTATCTTCCTCCCGCTCTCTCGGCCTCCCGTTCGCAGCCACCTCTTCCGAGGGTCACCGGCTCCCGGGCCACGGCCCACCCTCCTCCTCCACGTCCGGGGCCTCGGCCCAGCCCCCTCCGCACCTGCCCACCAAGCTCGTGATCCGACACGGTGGGGCTGGCGGCTCCCCGTCAGTGACCTGGGCACGGGCGTCGTCCTCCTTGTCTTCCTCGTCTTCCTCCTCATCATCGGCCACCTCGTCCCTGGATGCCGATGAGGACGGCCCCATGCCCTCCCGAAACCGCCCACCCATCAAGACCTACGAAGCCCGCAGCCGCATCGGCCTCAAGCTCAAGATCAAGCAGGAGGCCGGGCTCAGCAAGGTCGTGCACAACACGGCCCTGGACCCCGTGCACCAGCCCCCGCCACCACCCCCCGCCGTGCTCAAGGCAGCCGACCCCCCACCCCGGCCCCCACCGCCACCCCCCAGCACCAGCCAGATGAATGGCACGGTGGACCACCCACCACCTGGCGCCCCTGACCGCAAGCCACCCACCCCGGCACCCCACTGCCCCCGCCTGCCTCTGCGGAAGACGTACCGGGAGAATGTGGAGGCCCTGGGCAGTGGGGCCACGGAGGGGACCGTCCGGGCCCGGGGCAGTAGCCCGGCACCACCAGCCACCAAAGTGGATGAGGCAACTAGCGGGCTCATCCGCGAGCTGGCAGCAGTGGAGGATGAGCTGTACCAGCGCATGCTGAAGGGGCCGCTACCCGAGTCCCCAGCCGGGGCTGCGCAGGGCGGCAGCAGCGGGGACCCCAGCTGGGAGGCCCCCCCACTACCCCCAGCCAAACGGCGCAAGTCTGAGTCACCTGACGTGGACCAGGCCAGCTTCTCCAGTGACAGCCCGCAGGACGACACACTGACGGAGCACCTGCAGAGTGCCATCGACAGCATTCTGAACCTCCAGCAGGCCCCTGGCCGGACACCTGCGCCCCCGTACCCCCATGCCACCTCCGCAGCCACCGCACCCGCCGCCACTGCCCCCGCGTCCCTGCACAGGCCCGACGCCTACCCGCCCTCCAGTCACAACGGCGGCCTCGGCACCAGGACGTTGAACAGATAACACTGGGCTGGCCCTCCTGTCCCTGTCCCCTCGCCACACATGGACGCTGCCGGGGGCTGTGGCCACCTGACCTCAGCCCCCTGGGGGACACAAGCCGGGGATCCCTGACAGTCTTTCTTGCCTAAGTTATTAATTAAGTCACAAAGGCCTCCCCGCCACCTCCTGCCTCAGCCGGGGTGGTGGCGGGGAACAGAGGTGTGGATTTTGGGGAGGGGGCTGTAATGTAAAATGTCATCCTGCATAAGGAGGAGGTGATCCTGGTGTGTCATTTCCCTCTTCCTGCCATACCGTGCCCCTCCACCTGGAGGACACGTTTGTGTGTTTGCTGGGGACAGGAGCACCCTGGTTGTTTCCACTGCTCACCTGTGTCCAGGTGGTGTTCTTGGTGTGTGTGGCTTCACAGAGCCACCAGAGGGCGTTCGGAGCTGTGGTTGCCCTCTCTCGAGCGCCCCCTGCAGGCTGTAATAGGAAGTGCAGAGAGGGGGCAAAGTCCCAGAACTCCCATCTTGGGGGGGCGCTGAGCCCATGGCCTCTGTGTCACATCTGTGTGTGTGCGTGTCCAGCGCCACGTCCCGTGTCTCCCTGTTTGCACCAGTGTGAGAGAGAATGTGAGCCCTCCGACCCCTCGACTCACAGCTGAGCATCACCCAAACCAGGAGCCGGATCCTCCTCCTCTCCCCGCCAGTCTTCCCTCTCTGTTCTTCCTGCCTCCAGCCGCCCCCGCCAGATTTTGAGATCTCGGAGACAAAACTAGTACTGTAAGATAAATTTTTTTGTACTGTATTTATTGTGTATAACGATTTTTTTAAAGGAGAATTCTGTACATTTAGAACTCTTGTAAATTAAAAACTGATCCTTTTTTAAAACTATTTTTGGCCCCTCTGCCCCATTTCTTTTGGGTCTTTGGGGCGGGGGATTATTTGGAGCCTGGGGATTGGGACTAAACCTATGTGGGAAGGGGACTGCGAGGCTTTCTCCCACACATCTGTGGAGCCCCTGGGCTAGTCTCCTAGGCTACTGTAACCAAATACCAAAGTGGGTGGTTTAAAACAACAGCAATTTTTTGGCTCAGTTCTGGAGGCTAGGAGTCCAAATCAGGGTGTTGACAGTACTGATCCTTCTGAGACTCTGAGGGGGAATCTCTTCCAGGCCTCTCTCCTAGCTTCTGGAAGTCCCCAGGTGTTTCTTCGAGTTCCTTAGCTTACAGCAGCAGCGTCACACAGCGTCCTTTCTCTGTCTCCCTGTCCCTGTGTCTCCTCTGCTTTTGTACGGACATCATTCATAGAGGATTAGGGCCCATCCTCCTGTACGACCTCATGTTAGCCTAACCGATCACATTTTTTTTTTTTTTTTTTGGTGGAAGTACACACCATTTCAACATGTATGATTCAGTGATGTTGGTTCAAACTGATAAGACTTATTTCCAAACAGGGTCACATTCACAGGTACACGGGTTAAGACTTCAACAGATCTTTTTGAGGGGGATACAATTCAATCCATAACAGCCCCTGTTGTGCTCCAGGCCCTGTATAGGCAGAGGAGGTCCCTGCGCTCGCTCACTGGCTTGTTACTCGGGGTGGCAGACGTGGACACCTAAACAAATGTGTACTGTGTCAGGTGGTGACATGTCCCATGAAGAAAAGCCGAACAGGGTGAAGGGATGGGCAAGGCAGCTGCTAGGCCACAGGACTGCTGAATGTACCCCTTTGTCCTAGGTATGGAGTTTGGAGAGCAGGGCATGGGTTGGATCCCAGCCACTCGCACCCACTCGGCAGATGCCTTGTGCAGTGAGCAACCTGCCCTACTGCACACTAAGACCTCATGGCCGGGTGGGAAGGGGTCTTTGAGGAGGTAACATTTGAGCAGAGAGAGACGTGCATAAAACGAGGGTTGTCGTTTAACTGTGCCGTCAAGTTAATTCTGACTCAGAGTGACCCATGTAACAGAGCAGAACTGCCCCATAGGGTTTTCTAGACTGAAATTTTTACAGGAGCAGATCGCCAGGCCCTTCTCCCGTGGAGCCGCTGAGTGGGTTCAAACCACCAACCTTTTGGTTAGCAGCTGAGTGCTTAACTGTTGTGCCACCAGAGCGCCTTTGAAATGAGGGAGCCACGGAGATATCAGAAGGAAGGACAGCCACAGCAGACAGAACAGCCTGTGCAAAGTCCCGGAGGCAGGAGCAAGCCTCGAGGGTTGAGGAACAGAGAGGAGGCCAGTGTGGTTGGAGCTGAGGGAGAGAGGGTGGGAGGTAAGGTCAGAGCGGACCTATAGGGCCATGTGGGCCAAGGTGAGGACTTTGCTTTGAGGGAGGCAAAAGCCACCTGAGGGCTCTGAGCAGAGGGGGAAATGTGAGCTGACTTGGGTGTTAACAAGAGCCCTCTGGCAGCCATTCAGGGAACAGACTGGGAGCAGAGAAGGGACATGAGTGGCCTTATTGGGAAGGGGTCGCCCTCTGGCAGCCATGTGAGGGACAGACTGGGGGGCGAGGGCAGAAGCGGAGAGACCAGTGAGGGGGCGACAAAGATGAAAGTCCAGGTGGGCGGTGATGGTGGTTGGACTAGGCTGATGCGCCCTGTTTCCTGGCAAGCCCCTGGGGGTGTTTGTGGGTCTGAAGCTACTATAAGGGGTTGCAGAGGGATGGACCCTTTTTCCCTTCCTAGCTGTAGACATACTTCCCTCGTGTTAAGAGAAGCACTGAACCTGAACGAGAGCGGCCATTCTTCCTTCCCACCACGAAGGTTTGCCGAGGACTCCAGGGGCCCAGCCTCAGTTCTGGAAGGCTGGCTGCAGCCCAAGAGATGCTGAACGTTTCTTGAACACTTACCATGTACCCTGCCCTTCTCCTGAATCATCTTACTTGGTGTCCAAGGCAGGCCCTTTGGTGGAATCGATAGCCCTGTTTTGCAGGTGAGGAAACTGAGGCTCAGGAGATGCAGTAAGTGGCAGGCTGGGCTTCGAGCCAGGCTGTCTGGCTGCAAACCTATATTCTTCTTCTTTTTTTTTTTTTTAACTTGATGTCCTTTTTGTGTATCCATTTATTTACTTATTTTTAGTGAAAATCTACACAGCAAAACATATACCTCTTCTACATTTTTTACAAGTACAGTTCGTTAGCAATGGTTACCTTCTTCATATTGTATCATTCTCCCATCTCGGCCCCTATTGTCTCACTCAGGTTACCTTAGACTCTCTGCCCCTTAAAGTTCTCATCTGTATTTCATAGTTACTGTTGTCATTTCTATCTCATTTAAGTAATTCTTTAATCGGGTACAATGCTCAAGGCAGACATTCTGTATTGAGCTAAATTGTTGTTTAGTTTAAAGATGACTTCATGGGATAGTTTAGGCTCAAAGTTCAAAAGTTGTTTCCAGGCAATAGATTCAGGGGTCCCTCCAGTCTCACTGTCTCCAGTAAGTCTGGTTTCCAATAAGAACTTGAAGTTTCATTCCACAGTTTTCCTCCTTTTGATCAAGATCCATCTATTGGGTCCCTGATCAAAGATTCAGAAATGGTAGCCAGGCACCATCCAGTTCTGGCCTCCTGGCAGAGGAAGGAGTAGTTTAGGGAGGCAGATGGATGTGCAAACCGTTTCCTTTTCCGATACCTGGATCTCATTCTTCCTCTGTTGCTCCAGGTGATTAGAGACAAATTATTGTATTTTGGATGAGCCCATGTTCTTTATTTCTGCACACCCTGCTTCCTGCCAGCTGAGGGGCCAACAGCAAGGTGTTTGCAAGTGAGCCCTGGGGGAATCAGAGCCTTCCCTCCACCCCGCCCTCCCCTTCCCAATCCCCTGAGGAAGAGGCAAAAACCGAGCTCAGCTCCTACAAAGTTAGCCCTGGGATGAAACTTCTTAGACACCAGCTCCCAGATGCTAGCAGCAGCTCAGGGAGTTCTTAGTTCCCTACTGCTGCTATAACAGAAATACCACAAGTGGTCGGCTTTAACAAACAGAAATTTATTTTCTCACAGTGCAGGAGGCTAGAAGTCCGAATTCCAGGCACTGGCTCTAGGGGAAGGCTTTCTTTGTCCGCTCTGGAGGAAACCCTTAACTTCTCTAGCGTTCCCTAGAGATCTCCACGTGGCACCTATCTTTTCCCCTCTATGATTCTTGCTTCTGTGCGGAATCTACTTCTAAATCGCAAAAGTGATTAGCTTAAGACACCCTGGGAGACCCAGTGGCACAGTGATTAAAGCGCTCAGCTGCTAACCAAAAGATCAGCAGTTTGAACCCATCTCGAAGGTAATGGGTTAAAACACCCTACATGGATGTGGTCTCATTAACGTAACAAAACCGTATCCCCCAAATGGAATTACATTTACTACACATTATTTTGTGTTGTTGTTAGGTGCTGTGGAGTCAGTTCGGACTCATAGCGACCCATGTACAACAGAACAAAGCACTGCCCAGTCCTGTGCCATCATGCTTGAGCCCATTGTTGCAGCCACTGTGTCAATCCATCTCATTGAGGGTCTTCCTCTTTTTCACTGACCCTCTACATTACCAAGCATGATGTCCTTCTCCAGGGACTGATCCCTCCTGATAACATGTCCAAAGTATATAAGGTGTAGTCTCTCCATCCTTGCTTCTAAGGAGCATTCTGGTTGTACTTCTTCCAAGACAGATTTGTTCATTCTTTTGGCAGTCCATGGTATATTCAATATTCTTCGCCAACACCATAATTCAAAGGTGTCAGTTCTTCTTCAATCTTCCTTATTCATTGTCCAGCTTTCTCATGCATATGACGCAATTGAAAATACCATGGCTTGGGTCAGGAGCACCTGAGTCCGCAAGGTGACATCTTTGCTTTTTTACACTTTAAAGAGGTCTTTTGCAGCAGATTTGCCCAATGCAATGCATCTTCTGATTTCCTGACTATTGCTTCCTTGGGTGTTGATTGTGGATCCAAGTAAAATGAAATTCTTGACAACTTCAATCTTTTCTCTGTGTATCATGATGTTGCTTATTGGTCCAGTTGTGAGGATTTTTGTTTTCTTTATGTTGAGGTGTAATCCATACTGAAGGCTGTGGTCTTTGATCTTCATCAGTAAGTGCTTCAAGTCCTCTTCACTTTCAGCAAGCAACGTATATTTTGGGGGGACACAATTCAATCCTGCCGCCGATTGTACTGAAGTACAGTTATCAGTATTTGTAACATAGTAATCCAACCTCCTGCCATGGAGTCAATTCTGACTCATGAGGACCCTATGTGTGTCAGAGTAGAACTGTGCTCCGTAGGATTTTCAATGGCTGGTTATTCAGAAGTAAATCACCAGGCCTTTCTTCCAAGGCACCTCTAGGTGGACTCGACCCTCCAATCTTTCGATCAGCAGCCAAGCACGTTAACCTTCTGCGTCACCCGGGGACTCTCCGACATAGTAATAGGGGCTGCTTTATTAATACACTAATGAGAGAGAGCCGGCAGTGGCGGTTCAGTGGTAGCATTCTCACCTTCCATGCGGGAGACCCAGAATTCCCAGCCAAAGCGTCTCAAGCACAGCTACCACCCATCTGTCAGGGGAGGCTTGCGTGTTGTTATGATGCTGAACAGGTTTCAATGAAGCTTCCGGACTAAGATGAACTAAGAAGAAAGGCCTGGCCATCTTCAGAATATTGTCTGACTTGCTTGCCTCGGACACGTCCACAGGGGGGCTCAATTGCTGGAGGAAGACATCATGTGTGGTGAAGCAGAGGCCAGCGAGGGGGAGGGAGACCCTCGGTGAGATGGATGGCACAGCAGCCGCAACGATGGACTCGGACACGCTGTGAGGATGATGCAGGACCGGGCGACATTTCATTCGGTTGCACATGAGGTGGCCATGAGTGGGGTCGGCTCAATGGCAGCCATCCATCCACCCGTCTTCTACCTACCTACCTACCTGTCTATCCACCTATCCACCTATCCATCTATCCATCTATCCATCTATCTATCATCTATTTGTCCATCCATCCATCCACACCTCCACCCCTACACCCATCCACCCATCCACCCATCCACCATCCACCTATCCACCTATCCATATCTGTCTATCCGTCTATCTATCGGTCTATCTGTCCATCCATCCATCCATCTATCTATGGGCCAAGCACAGCACTAAGCACTGAACAATCTCTCTGGCTTTTCTGAATTCACTTTTCTGGGACTCAGTTGTCTCGTCTGTAAAATGGATATAACAATACCTGCTTCTCTGGAATATTATGAGGAGTCAATGGGATAATCCATGTAAAAAGCGTAGAGCAGGGTTTGCTCCTAGGAAGTGTTCAATAAACATTAGGTTTTCATACAACACACATTTACTGACCCCCTGTGGTGCACCTGGCACTGTGCTGGGTGCTGAGGATACAGCAGGAACAGCATGGGATTTTGAGGACTCAGCAGGGAAAGATGCTGTCAGAAATTCCTGCCCTTGTGGGACACCTGTTCACAGGAGGGAGATAAACACTAAGACACAGAAATGTATAATATGTAGCGTGGTGATAGGACTGTGGAGGAAAAAAAAAGCAGAGATAAGGGATAGATGGCGGATGTTTATTAGGCAGGGGATCAGGGAGGGCTTCACTGAGAAGGTGACATTTGAGCAGAGACCTGAAGGAGGCAAAGGAACGAACCATGAGGATTTCTGGTAGGAGAACATCCAAGACAGCAGCAGGAACAGCAAGTGCAAAGGCCCTGGGGTCACAGTGTTGCTGGTGTGTTTGAGGAATGCCTGTGGTATATGTGGCTGGAGAGGAGTCAGTAAAGGGGGAGGCTGTCAGATAACGGCAGAGGGACAAGACGGATGCTTTTACTTTTACTTTGAGTGAGACAGGAGCCAGGGAGGGTTATGAGCAGAGGAGTTTCACAAACTCACCTAAGTTTTAAAATTATTATTATTTCTATTTTAAGAAGGGAGACACTGATCCTTTGCCATGAGACCACAGAACTGTCTGGTGAGGTCATGGGAGCTTCATAGACACATCCGAACTCCCTGAGGGACTGAATTACTGGGCTGAGGGCTGAGGACCGTGGTCTTGGGGGACATCTAGCTCAATTGGCATAACATAGTTTATAAAGAAAATGTTCTACATCCTACTTTGGTGAGTGGCGTCTGGGGTCTTATAAGCTTGTGAGCAGCCATCTAAGATACTCCATTGGTCCTAACCTGTGTGGAGCAAGGGAGAATGAAGAAAACCAAAGACAAAACGGAAAGATTAGTCCAAAGGACTAATGGACCAGACACCCTTTTAACTCAGTACTGAAGTTACTCCCCTTCAGCCAAAGATTAGACAGGTCCATAAAACAAAATGAGACTAAATGGGCACACCAGCCCGGGGGCAAGGACGAGAAGGCAGGAGGGGACAGGAAAGCTGGTAATGGGGAAACTAAGGTCTAGAAGGGGGGAGTGTTGACACGTTGTGGGGTTGGCAACCAATGTCGCAAAACAATATATGTATTAATTGCTTAATGAGAAACTAATTTGCTCTGTAAACCTTCATCTAAAGCACAATTTTAAAAAAGAAAAAAAGAACTGGCTGGTGCCTGGCAACCATTACTGAACGTTTGGATCAAAGATTCTATAGAACAATGTTCATCTAAAGGGAGAAAATGCAGAACAGAATTTCAAATCCACACAGAATCCAGACTTTCTGGAGCCATTGAGGCTGGATGAACCCCCAAAACTATTGCCCTAAGGTAATCTTCAAACCTTAAACCAAAAATATCCCCTGAAGTCATCTTTAAGCCCAACAGCACTTTAGCTTAATTAGTAAAAAACGTCTGCCTTGAGCACTATGCTCTTTTAAAGAACTATCTCTATGGAGTCAAATCCACAACAGCAACTCAAAGATGAGGTAGGAAGCTTAGAGGGCTGTGAGTTTATGTTACTGGGGGAGGAATAATTTGCAAAAGGAGAGGGAGAATGGTTGCACAAATCCAAGAATGTAATCAATGTCACTAAACTGTACATGTAGAAATTGTTGTTGTATGTTCTGTGTATATTTTCAACAACAATTAAAAAAAAAAAAAGACACTGAGGTTTGCAGAGGTGGGGCGTGGCCCAAAGTCACTCCACCCAGAGGTGGAGGCGGAATTCGAGCCTCTGACTCAAACCGTCGCTCTTACCCGCCTCGTGAAGGCACCATCCCCACTACCCACCAGGGGGCGCCAGAGGCCGGGCGAAAGGTTTGACGGGGGGGCACCTCGTCCAGCCCCCCCACCCCCTTCCGCCCTCTCTGCTCCGCTCCGGGCCCCACCCGGCTCAGACGGCTCCGGACGGGATCGCGAGCACACGCCAGTTCGCGGGCGCGTCGGATACCAGCGGGACCCCCGCCCACCCGTCTGCACGCCCGGCTCCGCCCGAAGCCAGCGCCCCCGTCAGTGAGTCGCCCCCGCCCCCTGCTCGCGGAGCTCCCGAGCCTGCCCTGGCTTCAGATTGCACTGCTCACCCAAAGCCTCTAGGTACCCCCAGTCTGTTACGGTCTCTTCCAGTCCCTGCTGAACCCTCTCAGTCTCCCCCACTCTCCCTGGCCCCTTCCAGTTGGTAAGTGTCCCCCACTCTCCCCAGTCTCCCCCAGTCTTCCCCAGTATCCTTTCTCCCCACTCTCATCCATGTCAGTGCCTCCCACTCTCCCCGACTTTCCCAGTCTCTCCCACTTCTCCAGTCTCCACCACTCCCTCCCTCCTAACCCCCTTCCCATCCTCTTAGCCAGGGAGATCCTGTCCTTAGGGTCTCATCCTCTACCACGCCTATCTCTGTCCTACGTGGCCCCTCCTGGTGCCCAAGATCTTCTGTCCTATCTCACCTCTCCCACTGCCCTTTCAGCCACCCCCAAGCTTCCTCTGGGAGATGTCCCACAGACTCCTCCCTGCCTGAGAACCTGCCCATGGGAACTCCATGTGCCCACATCCGAGGTCCCAGCTCCTCCTTCTTTCCACCTCTCCAGCCACTCTTTCCCTGACTTTTTTTTTAAATATCATTATGATTTCATGAATTTTAGTGTATTTGATTTGCCATTATTTTTGATGCTCAAATTATCACATCTTTGGCCAGTGGGAGCCTCTTCAAGCTGGGTCCTGTGTTTTTGTGACATGTCCCCATCAATCCTTGAGCACTTCCTTCCTACCAAATCCAAGGTCACTCATTCTTCCCCTACCCCAGCCCTGGAATCAGTCATTTCTCCAAGGATCTCTAGTTTCTTTTAGTGGAGAATGGTATTTAGAGACTGAAATCTGACCAAACCTAGTTTTTTGAAAAGATTAGTAAAATTGACAAGCAGATAGGTACACTGATCAAGAAGAGAGAAAGAGAGAGCAAAGACAGATTGCCAATATCAGGAATGAAAGAGGGGGCATCACTACAGAGCCTACAGAAAATAAAAGGACAGTAAGGCAATGTAGAGAACACAGTCTGGGTGCTAGGGGTACTCATTGCTGCTGGGTTGCTAATTGTTTCGCTCCTTAACCTTAGACTTATAATAGGAGCCCAGACCTGAGGTCACATTGCCTGGATTTGAATCCCAGCTTGAGCACTTTCTAGCTAAGTGATAATGGACGAGTTATTTTTATTTTCCTAAGCCTCCATTTCCTTGTCAGAAAAAATGGGAATAATAAGAGATGTACCTTCTAGGGCTGTTATGAAGGTTAAATGAGGTAATTCATGTAAAGTGCTTAGAGTAGTGTCTGGTATGTAGTAATCATAAATGTTGAGTTATTATTCTTGTTAACGCCCAAGGCTCCTCATGCCGAAAGATCCTCATGACCCGGGTGCATCCAGGCAACCTCCTCAGCCTCTTTTCTCATTCTTCCTTCTTGTGCCCCTGTGTCCATCCACCCCAGATATTTCACAGTTCCCAGCATCCGAGGACCTCTCACACCTCCATGTCTTTGCACATACCATTCTCTCTGCCTAAATGCTCCCTTTCCTGCCCGCCCTTCACGGAGCAGCTCAAAAGTCAGCCTAGCCCCAAGCTTTGCTGATCCTGTGGTCAGCTTATCATGCTCTCTCTGGGTGCCCACATATCCACTGCCTGGCACTTCTCGGGCATCATTGACTGTTTGGTGCTAAGGTCCTCTCCTGACTGGGGGCTCTGGGCAGGTGGGCACTGGTCTCTGGTTCATTTCTGGTTTTATAGCTCCTGATACAGAGAGTGACTTTAGTAAAAATTTGTCAAATGATGGAAGAGGGGGAAGGGAGAAAGAAAAAAAATAAAGGAATTAAAGAAAACATTTCTTTCAGGCCAATTCTGCATCCTTCCCTTGGTCTGCCACCATCAATCCCCCTTTCTTTCACCATTAACCTTTTCCTCTTCTTCCAGCTGGTTCACTCAAATCCCCCCAAATCCCCCTCTTCCTTTTTTAGCCATCTCCTCCACCCATTCCACCATCACTCTTCTCCGTCCATATCACCATTAATGCTCTGTGCTCCTTCTCTCTACCCATTCCACCATGAATGTTTCCCTTTCCCCTCTTCCTCCAGTCATTTGTCAATGCCCCCATCTTCCCCCATCCATTCTACCTCCAGTCTCCCTTCTCCATCCTCCTCTGCCAGGCAGCCCTCCATTAATGCCCTTTCCTCCTCCTTTCCACTCATTCCATCAATGTTCCCTTTCTCCTCCTCCATCAACCCCTCTTCTCCACTCATTTCTCCATTGTGCTCTTGCCTCCTCTTTCTCTATCCATTCCCCTATCAACATCCCCATCATCCTCCATCCATTCTACCTTCGGTCGCCCTTCCTCCTCCTCCTCCTCTTCCAGACAGTCCACCCTTAATGTTTTTTTACACCACTGCAGGCAGTCCATCATCAACATTCTTCCTCTTCTCCATCCATTCCCCTATCAATGCCCCATCCTTTTCCAGCCATTCTACCTTCTTTCTCTTTGTTCCTCTTCCTCCTCCAGGAAGTCCACCATAAATGCTCTCTGTTCCTCCTCCTTCACCCATTTCATCATCAACACTTCCATTTTTATCCAGCCATTCTTTTACCAGCGCCCCTTCCTCCTCCTCCTTCCCCTCATCATTGCCCCCATCTTCCTCCAGCCATTCTACCCTCTCTCTCCCTTCCTCCTCCTCCTCCTCCAGGCAGTCCACCATCAATGCCCCATTCTCCTCCAGCCATTCTGCCCTCTCTCTCCTTGTTCCTCCTCCACCACCACTACCATCAGGCAGTCTACCATTATGCCCCTGTCCTCCTCCTCCAGCCATTGTCTTCCTTCTTCCTCTTCCTCTTCCTCCACCAAAACCAGGCAGTTCATCAGCCCCGGTCCTCCTCCATCCATTCTACCTTCTCTCTCCCTTCTTCCTCCTCCTCCTACTCCAGGAAGTCCACCATCAATGCCCTCTCTTCCTCCCGCAGGCAGCTCTCCACCCACGTGTCCCCCTTGGCAAGCCCAGTGGGCAGTGAGCAGCCACCATGTTCAGCTGGCTGAAGCGGGGCGGGGCGCGGGGCCAACAGCCCGAGGCCATCCGCACCGTGACCTCGGCCCTCAAGGATCTCTACCGCACCAAACTGCTGCCCCTGGAGGAGCACTACCGCTTTGGTGCCTTCCACTCACCTGCGCTGGAAGACGCCGACTTCGACGGCAAGCCCATGGTGCTGGTGGCTGGCCAGTACAGCACAGGCAAGACCAGCTTCATCCAGTACCTGCTGGAGCAGGAGGTGCCCGGTTCCCGCGTGGGACCTGAGCCCACCACCGACTGCTTCGTGGCGGTCATGCATGGTGACGCCGAGGGCATCGTGCCCGGCAACGCCCTTGTCGTTGACCCTGACAAGCCCTTCCGCAAACTCAACCCCTTTGGAAACACCTTCCTCAACAGGTGCACGGTGGCGTGCCTCATGCTGAACTGTGTTTCTCTCCTTTTCAGCCATGATTTCCTTTTCTCTGCCTGATTCTCCCACTTCCTGCCTTTGTGCTTTTCTGCCTTGATTACCCCCTTCTCTGGGGAAGCAGCGAAGGGATCCCATAAAACCCATTGCCTTGGAGTCGATTCCGACTCATGGCGACCCTATAGGACAGTGTAGAGCTGCTCCATAGGGTTTTCAAGGCTGTAATCTTTACGAAGCAGACTGCCACATCTTTCTCCTGTGGAGTGGCTGGTGGGTTCGAACCACCGACCTTTTGGTTAGCAGCCGAGTGCTTAACCACTGCACCACCAGGGCTGGGTTCAAATCCTAGCTCTGCTGATGGCTAGCTGTGTGGCCTTGGGCCAGTGACTTAACCTCTCTGTGCTTCTCTCTTATCCTTATCTGGAAAACGAGGTTTATCATTGTCTTCGTTTCCTAGTGCTGCTCTAACAGAAATACCACAAGTGGATGGCTGTAATGAACGGAAATTTCTTTTCTCACAGTTCAGGAGGCTAGAAGGCTGAATTCAGGGCGCCTGCTCTAGGGGAAGGCTTTCTCTGTCTGCTCTGGGAGAAAATCCTTGTCTCAGTTTTCTTTACCGTTTCTTCTTGGTGATCTCCACATGGCATCTGTCTGTTCACCATTCCTGCTTGCTTCTCTCGGTGTCTAATCTGCTATTTTTACATCTCAAAAACCCCTAGGTTTAAGACACACCCTACAATGATATGGCCTCATTAACGTAACAACGAAAACCCTATTCCCAAATGAGGTTATTCCATAGGTGTAAGGGTTAGGATTCCAACACATATTTTGCGGGGACACAATTCAGTCCATGATAGCCCCAGCTTCACAGGTTGTTTTGAGGATTGCATGAGTTAACGCAGATAAAGTGCTTAGAACAGTGCCTGGCACACAGTAAGTGCTCGATCAACATTAGTTATTATCATTTTAGTTATTATTCTGTCCTCTGCTCTTCCCTTTCTCTTCCACGATTCTTCACTTCTCTGTCCCTGCTTCTCCTCTGTGCAGTCATCATTTCGTTTCCTGGGTTTCATCCTCCTGCCCTTCCCTGCGTTGACGCTGCCTTTCCTTCGGCCCCCAGGTTCATGTGCGCCCACCTCCCTAATCAGGTCCTGGAGAGCATTAGTATTATTGACACCCCGGGCATCCTGTCAGGCGCCAAACAGAGAGTGAGCCGTGGTGAGTGAGGCTGGACTCCTGGTCTGAGGGAGGAGGGGTCTGGGGCCCTGGACTCCTGGGTCTGAGGGAGGAGGGGGCCCCCGGACTTCTGAGTCTGAGGGAGGATGGGGTGGGGGCCCCCACTCCTGGGTGTGAGGAAGGAGGTGGCCCGGACTCCTAGGTCTGAGGGAGGAGGGGCAGGGGACCTGGACTCCTCGGTCTGAGGGAAGAGGGGGCAGGGGCCCCGGACCCCTGGGTCTGAGGGAGGAGGGGGTTGGGGGACCGGACCCCTAGGTCTAAGGGAGGAGGGACCTGGGGGACCGAACCCCTGGGTCTGAGGAAGGAGATGCTGGGGCCCAGGCTCTCTGCTAGGACTTGGCCTGTCTCCCCTGGGCCTAAGCCAGTTGGGCAGTAGAAAGGAGCTAGTGGGAGGCGGTGACCTCCATATTGGCGCAGGGGGGAGGCGTGAGGGTGAACACGTGTGAGCAGGGCTGGAGCGGCAGGTCCGGGCAGGTGTGAAGGATGGAGTGAGAGAGATCAAGAGAGGGAGAAGGATACAGTGAAAGACTGAGAAGTAGAGATTGAGAGGGCGAGGCAGCGATGCAGAGAGAGGAGAACCCCAGTCGGGCAGGGAGGCCCCGGGCTCCACGTCTGGGGCACAGATGGGCTGGGAGGGGGGCCTGGGCGGGGGCCAAGCCGGGCCTGGAATTTATAAACAGCTGCGCAGGGGGAGCGGCGGGAGGTGCATTCCAGCGGGGCCTCCAGAGGGAGCCGGCCCCACCCTACCCCCACTCACCCCACCCCGCGCAGCATCCCCCGCCCCCCCAAGACCTGCCCGCATCCCCACACCCTGGCCTCGGAGGCCTGGAACTGGGGCAAAGGAGGAGGCGACAGAGTGGGGCAGAGGGGACGAAGGAGGCAACCGCGGGGGCGGGGAGCGCGGAGGGTGACGGTGTCCCTGGCCCCTGCCCAGCGGTTGGCGGGGGGGCGTCGTCCTGTGGGAGAAAAGCGGGAGGTAGCTGACGAAGCGATTGGGAGGGCGCCCGGCCAGCCTGAAGGGGGAGGCGGAGGGCAGGCAGTTCCTGGGGCTCCCACCCAAGGGGCGGGGCCTCCAAGCCAGGCCTGGAGGGTGCCACAGGGAGAGGGGAGAGTGGAGAGCAGGTCTTCTTCCCTGGCCTTGGGGGTAGATGAGGGGGAGAGAGGGTTGGCCGATCTCTGTGTGCGTGTGTGTGTGTGTTTGTGCATTGGGGGGAGGGGGAGTTGCCCCTGTGTGTGATATCTGTGAATGCACACATATGTGAGATTGTAGCATAGTGGGCCCCTCTCCAAAAAATTAAAAAACCAAACCCATTGCCGTCGAGTGCATTCCAGACTCACAGTGACCCTATAGGACAGAATAGATCTGTCCCGTAGGGTTTCCAAGGCTGCAGACTGCCACATTTTTTCTCCCACTCCTGGGTTTGGTTGGGTTCGAACTGCTGACCTTCTAGTTAGCAGCTGAGCTCTCAACCACTGTGCCATCAGGGCTCCATACTGGGCCCTTCTGCTGGGATCTTCAGATCTAGGCTCTGCTACGTTTAAGCTGTGGGACCTTGGGCAAGCCACTTAACCTCTCTGTGCTGCAGTTTCTGTATCTGGAAAATGGGGATCATTATAGTATCGGCCTCATAAGGAGCCCAGGTGGCGGGAACAGTTAAGCTCTTGGCGGCTAACAGAAATGTCAGCGGTTTGATCCTCCCCAGCAGCTCCGCAGGAGGAAAGACCTTGGTGATCTGCTCTGGTAAAGATGAACCTGTTGCCATCAAGTCGATTCCGACTCATAGCGACTCTAAAGGACAGAGTAGAATTGCCCCATAGAGTGTCCAAGGAGCAGATGGTGGATTCGAACTGATCACCTTTTGGTTAGCAGCCGAGCTCTTAACCACTCTGCCACAAGGGCTCCCCCCGTAAAGATTACAGCCTAGAAAACCCTATGGGGCAGTTCTGTTCTGAGTCAGAATCGACTCCACAGCGCACAACATAGTATCAGCCTCATAGGTTGTTAAAAAAAAAAACAACAACAAAAAACCAAACCCCATGTATTACAGAGTCGAACTGCTCCATAAGATTTTCTGGGTTGTAATCTTTATGGAAGTGGATCACCAGGCCTTTCTTCTGTGGCACTGCTTGAGGGTTAAATCAGTTAAAATGTGTGAAGCATTTAGAACAGTACCAGGCACACAGTAGGTGCTATGTAAGCGTTAACGATTATTATTATGTGATCACCACTGTGAGCCCCAGGGTTCCACGTAATTCTGAATATCTGTATGCAGGGCTCGGCTTCTCTCTGCCACGTCTCTCTTTCCCACGCTGACTCAACCTCCCTCCCTCCGCCCCTCCCCACCCCATGAGACACACTTTCCAAATCTGGGCCGGTGTGTGTGTGTTTATGTAGACACTGAGGGAAGAAGGACCCCCCTCCACCAGCTGCCGTTCCTCCGGTAACCCAGCCCTTCCTCCCCCAAAACAATGCCCCCCCACCCCATCCCTTCCCCAGTGGCTCTCAAGGAGCTTGTTTCCTCCTTGGTGGCCTGGAGCCCAAGGACCAGCTCCCCATGGGACCACAGAAGCCCATGGGGCTCTGGAGCTGGGGTTCCAACCCCTGCTCTGCCACCTTCTAGCTGTGTGTCTTGGGTAAGTCCCTTAACCTCTCTGTGTCTCAGTTTCCTCATCTGGGAAATGGGTCTCGTAGGGTTGTTTCAGGAGCCTGGTGGCACAGTGGTTCAAGTGCTCAGCTGCTAACTGAAAGTGGCAGTTTGAACCTACCAGACACTCCTCTGGAGAAAGACGTGACAGTCTGTTTCTGTAAAGATTTACAGCTCCGGAAACCCTGTAGAGCAGTCCTGCTCTATCCTGTAGGGTCGCTGTGGGTCAGAATAGACTCGATGGCAACAGGTTTGGGTTTGGTTTGGAGAGTTGTTTTGAAGATTGAACAAGTTAAATCCAAGAGACCCTTGCATGAAAGGGGCTGTGAATCAGCAATGGGCTCTGTTCTCCAGTTACCTCCTCCTCCCCCAGGTCCTCGCTTGGTGTCTCCTCCTTCAGGAAGCTCTCTCTGGTTGCCCACAATGCCTGGCACAAATCATAACTCACAGTTGCTGACCACTTACTGTGCATCCAGCAGTGTATCGTTCTGTTTTGTTTTAAACACTTTTATTGAGGTATAATTTACATTCCATAAAGCTCATCTATTTTAGGCATACAGTTTGATACCAGGCACTGTTGTAAGTGCTTTACGTATATTAAGTCATTTATATTTGTTTCATCATCACAGCTCCCTGTGAAGTCGTTCCCCGTTATGATTTCCATTTTACAGAAGAAGAAACTGAAGTTCGGAGAGGTTAAGTGACTTGTCTAAGGCGACACAGGGGATGGGGGCAGAGCAGGGATTCAAACCCAGGTTTTCCCCTGGCTGCCGAGTCAGGGGTCTCACAGGCTCCTCTCCCCTCTTCCAATCGTCAGTTGTTGAATGCACTCAGGAACGAGTGCAGGAACAAGCACGTGAATGAGGAAATGAATGGTGAAAAAATGAATGAACGAATGAACACAGGAGCCAGCCACTGGGATGAGTGCTCCATGGGGGCAGGGATCTTGTCCGTGTGCTTACAGTGGAATCCCCAGCGCCTGGTTCAGGGCCTGGCACCCAGAAGGCTCTCAGTAAATAGTGTTAAATTTGGAGGTAACATTAAAAATAGTTAACATTTGTTCCAGCGAGGACATAGCCAGGACCAGGCATGACCTCTTTAGTTGCTGAATTATGAGGCGATCTAGGGGTTTTAGGGAAGGGCTTGGGTCTTCGGGAATACTGTGGGTGGGCTAAGAGGTCCGGAGACTCATGGGGTCCCTCAAGAAACACTTCAGTGTTTTAACAACCTGTACCTCCCTACTGGAGGCCTTGGATGGTGCAAACAGTTACCGTGCTCGGCTGCTAACCTAAAGGTTGGAGTTTTGAGTCCACCCAGAGGCACCTCGGAAGAAAGCCCTGGTGATCTTCTTCCAAAAAATCAGCCATTGAAAACCCTATGGAGCACAGTTCTCCTCTGCACACATGGAGTTGCCATGCGTTGGAATAGACTCAGTGACAAGTGGTTTTTTTTACCTTCTTACCATGTTGTTGTCAGTTGCTGTTGAGTCAGCCTCAACGCATGGCGACCCCACGTGTTACAGAGGAGAACTCCTCCCCAGGGTTTTCTTGACTATAATCTTAGCAGAAGCAGATCACCAGGGCTTTTCTGCTGCGGTACCCCTGGGGAGGTTTGAACCACTAACCTTTAGGTTAGCAGTGAACACAAACCATTTGCAGTCACTTAGGGACCTCTGTGGCTGGTGGGTTCAAACCGCCGACCTTTCGGTTAAGCCAGAGCACTTAACCACTGTGCCACCAGGGCTCATTCCTTCTATACCAAAACCAAAAAAAACAAACCCATCGCCATCAAGTTGATTCTGACCCATAGCAACCCTAGAGGACAGAGTAGAACTGCCCTGTAGGGTTTCCAGAAGCACCTGAGCAACTGGTGGATTTGAACTGCCAACCTGTTGGTTAGCAGCCATATCACTTAACCACTGCGCCACCACGGCTCCATTCCTAGCACATTGCTAATATCTGCTGAATGAATGAATGAATGAAAAAAGGGAGAGGTGCGTCCTCCCCTTCCCCAGCCAGATGGCTCCATGAGCTGGAATCAGAGTGATGGGGGAAACTCTGGGGGGCTGGGGAGCCAGAGCAATGGGACACACTCGGGGCTTAAGCGATTTCATGTAGCCGAGGATTTCCATAGTTAACAACCTGAACATCCGTACAGACGCAGTCTCAGTGCTAAGCAACGGCATGCGCCGGAATGGCTGGGGGCGGGGCTGAATGCTGCCCCCTGAGCCCCTGCTCTCCCGCCTCCACCCCAGGCTACGACTTCCCCGCGGTGCTGCGCTGGTTCGCAGAGCGCGTGGACCTCATCATCCTGCTCTTCGACGCCCACAAGCTGGAGATCTCCGACGAATTCTCGGAGGCCATCGGCGCCCTGCGGGGCCACGAGGATAAGATCCGCGTGGTGCTCAACAAGGCCGACATGGTGGAGACGCAGCAGCTGATGCGCGTCTACGGGGCGCTCATGTGGGCGCTGGGCAAGGTGGTGGGCACGCCCGAGGTCCTGCGCGTCTACATCGGCTCCTTCTGGTCCCAGCCCCTTCTCGTGCCCGACAACCGACGCCTTTTCGAGTTGGAGGAGCAAGACCTGTTCCGCGACATCCAGGGCCTGCCGCGCCATGCCGCCCTGCGCAAGCTCAACGACCTGGTCAAGAGGGCCCGTCTGGTGCGGGTGAGCAGTGATGGAGGGTGGAAAAGCAGGGGCAGCTCTGGTTGCCGGTCCTCTGACCCTTCCTTGTGCGGTTATTCACTGATTAGTTAATGCTCTTTTGCTGGGGCATTCTGGAACAAAGGGCGGTGGGGTGGGGTGAGGAGTTGCATGGAGAACCATTTCTCCACCCTTGCATTTGAGGTCCCTGGGGGGACCAAACAGTTTGCGTTCCGCTGCTAATCAAAAGGATGTCGTTTCAAACCCACCCAGGGCATTGTGGAAGAAAGGCCTGGCAATCTGCTTCTGTAAAGATGGTTGTTAGTTGCTGTCAAGTCGATTCCGACTCATGCTGACCCCATGTGTGCAGAGTAGATCTGCTCCGTAGGGTTTTCAAGGCTGTGACCTTTCAGAAGCAGATCACCAGGCCTGTCTTCTGAGGCGCCTCTGGGTGGGTTCAAACTGCCAACCTTTCGGCTAGTAGTTGAGGGCTTAACCATTTGCGCCACCCAAGGCCTCCTCCGTGAAGATTACAGCCAAGAAAACCCTGTGGAGCACAGTTCTAGTCGGACACACGAGGTTGCTGTGAGTCGGAATTGACTTGACAGTAACGAGTAAACCATTGCATTCCTGCTTTTTATCTGTGTCTGTCTCAGCGTCTCCTCATCTCTTCTCTGTCCTGTTATTCCTTCATTCATCTCCTACCACCAGTCAGTTTGTATCAGGTCCTGCCTCTGCTCACAAAACCAAAAAAAAAAAAACCAAACCCATTGCTGTGGAGTTGATTCCGACTCATAGCCACCCTATATGACAGAGTAGAACTGCCCCCAATGGGTTTCCAAGGAGCACCTGGTGGATTCGAACTGCCAACCTTTTGGTTCGTGTTCTCACTCAGCAAAAGCCAAGTTCTAACCATGGCCCATAAGGTCCTGCAGGATGTGTCCCCTCTTTCCTCTGCCTTCCCAGTCTGTCCTCATCTCCCACCCTCTCTCCGTCGCTCAAGGAGCCCTCATGGTGTGATGGTTAAGCGCTCAGCTACTAACTAGAAGGTCAGTGGTTCAAACCCACCAGCTGCTTCATGGAGAAAGATGTGGCTGTCTGCTTCCATAAAGATTACAGCCTTGGAAACCCTATGGGGCAGTTCTACTGTCCTGTACAGTTGCTATGACTTGGAATCGACTCGACAGCAGTGGGTTCTCCATTGCCCATCTGCTCCATCACACTGGCCTCCTGGCTGTTTCTACAATACACCGAGTTCAGTCCTGCCTCAGGACCTTTGCATGCGCTGTTTCTGCCTCCTGGAGCCTTTCTTACCCAACACACACTCCCAAAATCTGGGGGACATCCACACGGCTCATATCCTCATCTCTAGTCATTACTTACATGTCAGTTTCTTAGAGAAGTCTCCTCTGCCCACCCCACCCCCATGACTATCACCCCCTGCTTTACCCTTATCCCACTGTTGTTTTCACGTGTTCATCTCTGCCTTACGGTCTCTGTTCATCGGGTTCCTGTGTTTACCGTCTGCGTCCTCCACTCCCATGGAAGCTCCAGAATCAGGGCTCCTTGTTTGTTTCGTTCAGTGCTGTTTCCTCAGCGCCTGGAACAGTGCCTGGCACAGAGGAGGTGCTCGGTAAATATTTATTGGATGAATGACATTCAGCAAACATTCACATTCAACAAAACCTCTTCTGTCCCTGGCCCTGTGCTAGGTGATGCTGAGGACAGAGCAGTGACTGAGACAGCCCCTGCCTGGCCCTGCCCTGTCAGGGCTCGTGCAGTCCGGGGGAGGAGGCGGATCCGTCTCCAGACAATGATGGCCCCGCCTTGTCAGGACTGGGATGGAGAAGTCCAAGGGACTTCTTGGAGGAGGGAGGGCTTCCTGGAGGAAAGGGCATCTGAGCTGCGACCTGGAGGATGAGGAAGACAAGGAAGGAACTAGACAGTGAAACCAGCCAGTGCATGGGCTGGAGGTGAGAGAAACCATGGCCAGTTTGAGAAGAGGAAAAATGTTAGTGTTGAACCCGGTGTAGACAGTGTAACTAGATTTGAGGCTGAAGAAGTGGGTGGGAGTCAGACTCGCCTAGGCCTTGTGGACCTTGGTGAGGAGCCTGTGTTTTGTCCTGAGGGTACTGGGGAGCTATGGAAGGTTTAGAGCAGGGGAGGGGCAGGGGCGGTTCAAGCTGCTTTCTGGAGGGTGGACGGGAAGGGGCAAGATTGGAGGAAGTTTAGGGGCAGGGTAATGGGGAGCAGAGAGGCACCTGGACCAGGACAGGGCCTTGGGGATGGGGAAAGAGGGCTGGTTTAAGAGTGATTTTGAAGGCTGCCAGGATGGAGGCGGGGCAGGAGGCTGGGCAAGGGGGAGGCCCAGGTGTTGGTTTAAGGAGCAGCTGAGAGAGGGTGAGTCAGAGCCCCCACCCCCACCCCAGGAATCCTCCTGGGGAGGGAATGGCCAGTGTGGACAGGCAGCTGCTGGGAGCCTGGAGCCTGGAGCCGTGGAATCCACCATTCCTCCTCCACCGGCTCTGGAGTTCCTCTTTCTCTGTCTCTTGGTTCCCATTTCCCACCTTTTTTGCTTTCTCTCCCTCCTCATTCTTTCTCTAACTCCCTCAATTTTCTCACTTCCTATCGCTGTCTCGTTTTATTCCTCCTAGTCTCTGCAGCTCTCTGGCCCTGTCTCTCTGTCTCCTCTCTGTGTTCCCCCCTCTCTCTCCTGTCTCTTACTGTGACCCTCTCCATCTTTTCATCTCTCTCGCTTTCTCTGCCTCTCCTCTCTCTCTCCTCTTCGTCTTTCTCCCTCAGTCTCTCTCTTCCTCTCTCTCCATCTCTCTCTTTCTCCCTTTCCATCTCTCTCCCTTCCTCTGTCTCTCCTTCTCCCTGCCTTTCTCTGTCTCCCGCTGGTCCGCCTTCGTTTTCCCAGGGACCCGTGGGGAAGCAGGCAGTGGGAGCCGGAGCCTAATGGGTACAGAGGGGCATCAGGCCGGACACCTGGAGCCCCCGCCAGGCAGGAGGCGGCTCCGGAAACCCGGAGACCTGGCCCCCAGCCCACCCCGCCTTGCCCTCTTATCTCTTCCGGGCACCTTCCCGCTGCTTCCTCTCTGGAAAAGCGATCAGTGCAGCGCCCTCCGCCTCCCCTCTTCTTGGTCCCCAGAAGCCGCCTGCAGGACCCGCCCCCTCACCCCATTGGCCAACTCTTACAAGCCCCACCCACCCGCCTGGCCCCCACCCCTGCCCTGATTGGCCCCTCAGATCTACAGGCCACTACCTACAGAGCTATCCGTGGCTCCCCAGTGCAGCTGAGGACATAGGCGCCCTGAACGTGGCGTTTAGGGTCTGCTGTGACCTAGCCCCTTCTCCCACTCCACACGTATGACTCTACCACTCTTGGTGCAGCCACCATGCAGTAGCCCATGCCGCTTACCTCCCTTCATGCTGTCCCCAAACGGTATGAGGCCTTCCTGGACCGTTGGTAGACCTCCCCCATCCTCCTTCCTCAGTTTCCCCGTCTGTACTATGTAGGAGGTTGGCTGAGTAGCTCTGGCTCTGTCAGTCGAAGTGAAAGCTACTAAGAGGAGTAATTCCATGATGCTTTGTCCCTGGGTTAACGGCGGTAGGCTGCTACCTGAAAGATTGCTGGTTTGAGTCCACCCAGAGGTGCCTTGGAATAAAGGCCTGGCGATCTACTTCCAAAAAAAATCAGCCATTGAAAACCCTGTGGGGCACAGTTCTATTCTGACACACATGGGATCGTCATCAGTCAAGAGTCAACTCAGTGGCAACTGGTTTTAACCAGGGCTTCCAGCAGGTTCCAACCCCTGATGAGAATTTGCATTTCTAAGAAGTTTCCTGCTGAGAATTTGCATTTCCACCCCAGGTATACTGAATCAGAATCTACATTTTAACAAGATGATCCTTCTGCATAACTTCCTGAGAACATGTTAGAAATGCAAATTCTAAGCAGGGGTATGAACCAGTTTGAAGCCCTGGTTTTAACTGGTAGTCCTTGAGACCAAGATCTTGGAAGGGTCCAATTCCGAAGAGGCCAGAATGCCCAGAGCCTTCAGCTGAGCTCTGAGGTGGCTCATCGATACTCGTTGGAGAAACGGTTACTGGGTGCCTGCACTAGCTGGCACTGTTCTAAGGCTTTGGGGTACAGCTGGGAACAAACCGGAAAACCTTCCTTTTCTCATAGAATTACTTTTTAGTGGAGAAGTGGACGTTAAACAAATAAATCTATAATGTGGTATCATATGTGATGAGGAGCCCTGGTGGTGCAGTGGTTATACCCTTGGCTGCTAACCAAAAGGTGGCTGTTCAAACCTACCCAGCTGCTCCGAGGGAGAAAGACCTGACAGTCTGCTCCTGTAAAGACTGCAAAACAAAACAAAACTCAAACTCACCGTCGAGTCGATTCCGACTCATAGCAGCCACTATAGGACATAGTGCGAGCAGCACTTGGCTGCTAACCGAAAGGTCGGTGGTTCAAACCTACCAGCTGCTCCTAAGAGGTTGGTGCTTCGAACCCACCAGCTGCTCCTAAGAAGAAAGATGTGGCAGTCTGCTTCCGTAAAGATTACTGTCTTGGAAACCCTATGGGGCAGTTCTGCTCTGTCCTGTAGGGTTGCTCTGAGTTGGAATCCACTGGATGGGCAATGGTTTTTTTTTTTTTAGTTCGTGGCTGGAGGAGACAGAGGGTGACAGAGGCGGGTGGAGGTGAGAAGTTAGAATGAGCCAGAGGCCACTAGAATATTTAACATTCTAAACCTACGATTCTTTACAAGAATTTTTTAACAAGTGTTTTTTCTTGAAAATGTAAGACCTCCTGGTAAAACGTTCATGCTATGTCAAATGCATTCCCTCCCACCCCTGGCCTCTGCCGGGCCTCAGATTCTACCTCCTGGCTGGAGGCAACCTCTGGAACCGAGTTTCTTGTGTTTCTTTTTAGGTATGTTCTGTTTTTATACAAGCATGTTGTTGCTGTTGGTTGCTATTGAGTGGATTCTAACTCATGGCAACCCCAGGTGTGTCAGAGTAGAACTGCTTCATAGGGTTTTCAAGGCTGTGACCTTTTGGAAGCAGATCGCCAGGCCTTTCTTCCAAGGCACCTCTGGGTGGGTTTGAACCGCCAACCTTTTGGCTAGTCGTCGAGAACTTCACTGTTTCCACCACCTAGGAACTCATACAAGCATATAGATTTAATTATCAAGCTTCCTATAAAAAACTTAGGCCATACCAGTCCTTGCTATTCTGACTCACCTTTTTGTTGTTTGTTTGCTTTTTGATAACTTACGAGATTGTGCTTCCAAAGTTGCTAGGCTTAGTGGTTTAGTCCACAAATATTTCTTGAGAGCTTTCGGTACACACTGGGCTAGCACCGGGGATGCTAGACAAGATCTCTACCTTCACAGAGCGCATATATATGTGTGTATATATATATACACACACGCATATGTATATACGTGTATATTCTTTTAATTGTGGTAAAATACAGATAACAAAACATTTGCCATTTCAACAATCTTCGCATGTATAGCTCAGTGACACTGCATTCAGCATGTTGTTCAACCATCAGCATTAACTGTTCTCAGATTTTTCCATCGCTCTTAACAGAAGCTGGAGCTCGTGTTTTGATGGAGGGAGACAGACTACGTAAAGCAACTGCTAAATGAGATAATGACACATTGTGATGAGTGTTGTGAACAGATCAATAAGGGCGAAGATAGAAAATAATTGGGTGGTAGTGGTTGGGGTCCCTGGGCGGTGCAAATGGTTTGCGCTCAACTACTAACCGGAAGGTTGGCTGTTTGAACCCACCCAGGGGTCCCTCAGAAGAAAGGCCTGGCAATATGCTTCTGTCAAGATTACAGCCAAGAAACCCTATGGGGCAGTTGTGCTCTGCCACGTGGAGTCGCCATGAGTGGGCATTGAGTCAATGGCTTGGTTGGTTGTTGGGCATCTGCTTTCCACAGAGAGTTCCATGTCTAAAGGATGGGGAGGGAACCAGCTGTGCGGAGGCTCTGGGCAGAGTTCCAGGGAGAGTGAGCGACATGTGCAGAGGTGGGAAAGAGGTTGGCATGCTGGTAACACCAGGAAGGCAGGTGAGGAAGCTGGAGCAGGGTGAGCGAGGGGAAGACTGGGAGGAGATAATGTTGGATGGATCGGCAGGAGCCAAATTGTATAGGGCAGTGATTCCAAACTTTTTGGTCTCAGGACCCCTTTATGTGATTAAAAATTATTGAGCACTCCAAAGAGCTTGTATATACGTATATTAAATCCACCAATAGTAAAAATATTTACCATATTAGAATTAAAGCAGAGGAAAATTTTAAATATTTATCTACTAATAATTCATTTTCCAGTTGCTGTCGGGTCGACTCTGACTCACTGCTCCCCCATGTATGTCAGAGCAAAACTGCATGCCGTAGGGTTTCCAGTGGCTGATTTTTCAGATGTAGGTCTCCAGGTCTTTCTTCCAAGGAGGCTTTGGGTGGACTTGAATTGCCAGCCTTTTGGTTAACAGCCGAGCAGATTAACCGTTTGTACCACCCAGGGACTCCCTAATTTTTCATACTGTTTATTAGTTAGTGATTAAGAATTATATAATAATAGAATGATAACTTATTTTTCATAAACATTATGATAACTTTTTAATACACTAAATTAATATCGATAGTTAATACTAAAATTAATAATTCATTTACTAGAATTTCACTTACAATAACAATAATAAAGCTATTACATGTTGTCTTAGTTATCTAGTGCTGCTATAACAGAAATACCATAAGTGGATGGTTTTAACAAAGAATAGTTTATTTCCTTACTGTAAAGTAGGCTAAAAGTCCAAATTCAGGGTGTCAGCTCCAGGGGAAGGCTTTCTCTCTCGGCCTTCTCATCAGTGTTCCCCCAGACTAGGAGCTTCTCGGCTCAGGGACCCAGGTCCAAAGGATGCGCTCTCCTCCTGGCACTGCTTTCTTGATGGTATGAGGTCCCCTCTTCTCTCTGCTCACTTCTGTCTTTTATATCTCGAGAGATTGCCTCAGGACACAATCCAGTCTTGTAAATTGAGTCCTGCCTCACTAATAGAACTGCCGCCCATCCTCCCTCATTAACATCATAGAGGCAGGATTTACAACATACAGGAAAATCACACAGTACCGGGGAATCGTGGCCCAGCCAAACTGATACACACATTCTTTGGGGCACATAATTCAATCCATGACACATGTTAACCTAAACAATGTAAGTTTTATGAAAAAGAACTATTTTCCAACCCCCCAACCCTCAAAAAAAAAAAAAAAAATTTAGTGAGAAGAGTGGCCCTGTTCTGCATTTTGGCCAATCTCTTGAATGTCCAACGTCTTGGCTTTCGAGAAGACGGGGGTTTCTCCTCTCTCTTCCTGTGTTCATTCAGTCACATCATCATGCCTTGTCACCTCTTAAAAACTCCACTGTCCACTCCAGTGGAAATGAGAGTGAAGAAAAGCAAGTAACATCTTAGCATTATTATTAAAAAGGTGCGTAGGTGGCACAGTGGTTAAGCACTCGGCTGCTAACCTAAAGGTCAGCTGTTTGAACCCACTAGCTGCTCCCTGGGAGAAAAGACCTGCGATCTGCTCCTGTAAAGATTACAGCCTAGGAAACCCAGTGGAGCAGTTCTACCCTGTAACACATGGGGCCGCTGAGTCGGAATTGACTCGATGGCAACAGATTTGGGTTTTTTTTTTGTTGTTGTTGTTATTAGTAAAAGGAGTCCGTGGGTAGCACGAACAGTTAAGCATTGGTCTGTTAACTGAAAGGTTGTCAGTTCAAACCCACCTAGAGACACCTCGGAAGAAAGGCCTGGCAATCTGCTTCCGTAATGATTACAGCCAAGAAAACCCATAGAACAGTTCTACTCTGCAACACACGGGGTCGCCATGAGTTGGAATTGACTTGATGGCAACGGGTTTGGGTTTTTTGTTTGTTTAATCTTTATGGAAGCAGATTGCCCGACCTTTCTTCTGAGGCACCACTGGGTGGGTTCCAACCTCCAACCTTTAGGTTAGTAGCTGAGAGCAAACATTTGTGTCACCCAGGGACCCACTCCAAAAGATCACAGCCACTGAAATCCGTATGGAGCACGGTTCTACTCTGACACAGCTGCAGTCGCCGTGAGTCAAAATCGACTCAACTGCAACGGGTTAAAAGTGGCACAGATCTGGGGGCCAGGCCAAAATTCCGAATAGGGTGGCACACCATGGAGATGTCTAGGAATGTAACGATAAGCTCTGTGAGTCCAGCACTCCAGGGACAGGCCTGGGCGGGTATGTCAGACTGGGCGTGGACAGCTAGGGAGGCTGTTTAAAACCAGGGGAGGGGCTGAGATTGCTTAAAGATGAGAGAGGAGCTGAGGCCGCAAGGCTGCGCCCAGAGACTGCTTCCATAATGATTACAGCCCCAGAGAGACAAGGCAGGGGACCTCAAAGTGTGGTTCTCCCCCCCTCACCAGGAGCAGCTGTTGTTAGCTACTGTAGAGTTGGCCCCCAACTCATTGCGCCCCCGTGTGTTACAAAGTAGAACCACACCATAGTGTTAGGAGCCCTGGTGGTGCAGTGGTTAAAGCACTTGGCTGTTAACCAAAAGGTCGGCGCTTCAAACTCACCAGTGGGTTCAGCTGGAGAAAGACCTGACGATCTGCTTTCGTAGATTCCAGCCAAGAAAACCCTATGGAGCAGTTCTACTCTGTAACACGGGGTTACCATGAGTCGGTATTGACTGGAGGGCAATGGGTTTTTTGTTTTTTTTTGTGGATGTGACACAGTTTGTTTATCTATTCACCTGTTGAGGGACACCCTGCGGCAACCTGAGTTTTAACAATCCCCCCAGGTGACTCTGATGCAGGCTTAAGCCATACCCACTCTCTTTCCTCCTCCCCCACCCCGCCAGGTTCACGCGTACATCATCAGCTACCTGAAGAAAGAGATGCCCTCAGTGTTTGGGAAGGAGAACAAGAAGAAGCAGCTGATCCTCAAGCTGCCCGTCATCTTTGCTAAGATTCAGCTGGAGCATCACATATCTCCTGGGGACTTTCCTGATTGCCAGAAGATGCAGGTGGGAGCCCGCCCAGCAGGGGGCGGAAGGGAGGACGGCAGCCTCACTTTCTGTGAGCTCCAGGCTGGGACCTCAGAAGATGAAAGGATGGGTGGGAGATTCGGGAAAGCACCTCCTGCACCATGGGGTGTGGCTTTGTGAGTTAGGATAAGCGAATGAAGAAAAACCAAAACACCAAACCCACTGCCATCAAGTTGGCTCATAGTGACCCCATAGGGCAGAACAGAACTGCCCCACAGGCTTTTCCAAGGAAGGCTCTAATCTTTACGGAAGCAGACTGTCACATCTTTCTCCTGTGGAGCGGCTGCTGGCTTCAAACCACCAACCTTTTGATTAGCAGCCAGGTGCTTAACCACTGTGCCACCAGGGCTTCTTAAGCAAATGAAGTGAAAACCCAAAATAACTGGGTGACATAAACAGTTCGAAGATTGACTACTAACTAAAAGGTTGGCGGTTCAAGTCCACCCAGAGGCATCTTGGAAGAAAGACCTGGTGATCTACTTCAGAAAGATCACAGCCATTGAAAAAACCCTGTGGGGCATAGTTCTACTCTGACACGCCGGGGGTCACCGTGAGTTGGAGTTGACTCTATGGTAACTGATACAGTTAAAACAGAGGTTTAGTTCTCTCATGAACGTCCCAAAGGTGGTCCAGGGCTGATTTGGCTCTTTACAGAGGCAGGGACCCAGCTGTCATATTTCTCCTTCATGTCTGCCCTCCAGTCCTAAGAACACCTCATGGTACAGAATGGCTGTGGAAACTCCAGCCATGGTGTCTGCATTCTAGCCAGCAAGAAAGGGGGGAGGGGCAAAGAGAGAAGGGTACAGTCTCTCTCTTTAAGGAAACTTTCTAGAACAAGGATATTCAATAGTACTTTTTATGATGATAGAAATGTTCTGTGCTGCATTGTTCAATAGAACAGCATTGGTGGCTCAGTGGTGAAATTCTTGCCTTCCATGGGGGAGACCCAGGTTCGATTCCCAGCCAATGCACCTCATGCGCAGCCACCACCCATCTGTCAGTGGAGGTTTGTGTGTTCCTATGATGCTGAACAGATTTCAGCAAGCTTCCAGACTAAGGCAGCCTAGGAAGAAAGGCCTGGTGATCTACTTCCAAAAATCAGCTAGTGAAAACCTTGTGGATCACAGATTTCGATCCCAACCAATCATGGGAATGGTGCAGGAGCAGACAGTGTTTAGTTCTGTTGTGCATGGGGTCACCATAAGTACTGGGCTCACTGGATGGGAGCTAACAACAACAGCCACATGTGACTAAACCTGTTGCCCGTAAGTCGATTCCGACTCAGAGCAACCCTGTAGGAAACAGAGTAGAACTACCTCATAGGGTTTCCAGGGAGCCGCTGGTGTATTTGAACTACCGACCTTTTGGTTAACAGCCAAGCTCTTAACCCCAGTGGCACCAGGGCTCCCACATATGACGACTGGGCCCTTAATATGTGACTGATGAAGTTTAAATTTTATTTAGTTTTAATTGATTCAAATTAAAGTACCCAAGCGTGGCTAGCAGCTACTGTATTGAACAGGGCAGTTCTGTTAGCTGCCCTTGCAACTTGTGCTTACATCCGATTGGCTAGAACTTAGTCACATGGCCATGACTGGCTGCAAGGGATACTGGGAAATGTAGTCTTTCCTCGGGGGGGGGGCCCAGGTGCCCGGGTAACGTTTAGGGAGTCCAGTACCGAGGAAGAGGGGACAAATGGATAATGGGGAGCCACTGGGAGGTGCCCTGCATGTCTGGACCTAGGATTTCCAGTGTTGGGGGAAAGCACTGGATCTGGCAGTGAAGGTGGAAACATCGCTGCAGTGACCAAATGAATACGGAGGGCAGAGGTCTGGCCGGGTTCAGGCATGGAGGCAGGGGACTAGCCTCCTGGCCCAAGCCTCTTCTCAGATTGAGTTATGCTGATAGTCAAAGCCTGCGACTTCTGGGTCTGAGAAGGTTCCATCCCAAGACTCTGAGGGCAGTGGTGTCACTAGGGGGATGGAGGAGGTGCAGACCACACACCTGACACTGTCAGGGGGGTGACACCAAAATGACCCCAGGGTCTGCGGTGGTGGTGGGTGGGCCAGTGCTGCCAGGGGAGGAGCCACCAGGTGTTTCCCAGGTGTCATACGGCACGAGGGCCCCAGGGATGGCAGCCCCTTACTCTTCGGTGCCCTCATCTCTCCCCGACAGGAGCTGCTGATGGTGCATGACTTCACCAAGTTCCACTCGCTGAAGCCAAAGCTGTTGGAGGCGCTGGACGAGATGCTGACGCACGACATCGCTAAGCTCATGCCCCTCCTGCGGCAGGAGGAGCTGGAGAACACCGAGGTGGGCGTGCAGGGCGGCGCCTTCGAGGGCACCCACATGGGCCCCTTCGTGGAGCGGGGGCCCGATGAGGCACTGGAGGACGGCGAGGAGGGCTCGGATGATGAGGCCGAGTGGGTGGTGACCAAGGACAAGTCCAAGTACGACGAGATCTTCTACAACCTGGCGCCCGCCGACGGCAAGCTAAGTGGCTCCAAGGCCAAGACCTGGATGGTGGGCACCAAGCTGCCCAACTCGGTGCTGGGCCGCATCTGGAAGCTGAGCGATGTCGACCGGGACGGCATGCTGGACGACGAGGAGTTCGCCCTGGCCAGCCACCTCATTGAGGCCAAGCTCGAGGGCCACGGGCTGCCCACCAACCTGCCCCGCCGCCTCGTGCCACCCTCCAAGCGGCGCCACAAGGGCTCCGCTGAGTGAGCCGTCCACTGGCCCTTCCTCCCTCCTGCCCGGCTGTGGCTCCCCAGCTCTGGTCAGCTGCACGCACACCTCTTCCCTGACCCACACGCCTCCACCTGCCTGCCCTGCCCAGCTCAGCTGTAAAGACCAGGGGGTCTCCCTACCCCCTACTCCCAGACACCCAGGTCGTAGCATCTAGTGGGGACCAGGGACGGGGCAAGACCTCTCCGCCTGCCCTTCTGTCCTTGCACCTCCACTCTCACATACCCTTAGGCACATCAAACCACCAGCACACACAGACACATACACACACAGGCAGCCATCATTCCTCAGTCATTGACGTATTTATTGAGCACTTATTCTGTGCCGGGCCCTGTTCTAAGTGCTGGGGATAAGAGCAAAGAACAAAGTAGACAAATGTGTCTGCCTGGTGGTGCTGACATTCTCAGGAGGAAAGGGCACCATCATAACTACACACGTGTGCGCGCACACACACACTGCCCTAACCACTGTGACCCTGGGAAGACCCCCTTGCCTCTCCTCACCAGTGAGCAGCCACTTGGTTGAAATGACTAACAAGCAAGCCCTGGGACCCACTTCCTTCTGCCCAGGCAGGGAAGGACCACCCCACCCCAACCTCAGGCCTCGGGACCATTGGGGGCTCAGAGGGGAGACAAGACCTCCTACTCCCTCTGCTGGCCCTGTCCTCAGCTCTGCCCCCACCTCCGGACCGCCCCAAGTCTGGCCTCATCCATTTCTCGACTAAGGATCCCCCTGCGGACAGAAAAGCCCCTTCAGTCCTTGCTCCCCTGCGGCCGCCCCTCCTTGGAGGTCTTCAGCCCTCTGCCCTACCGGGCCTGGACTGATGCCCAGCCTGTCCCCGGGGCCCCCCTGCAGGCTCCAAATTTTAGCGTGCTGGGACACAGCCCCTCTGCCCACTGTCAGTCCATATTTAAGTAGAGCCCTTCCCAGATAGAAAGGTCTCCGTCTGTATTTTAGATCCCCTTTCAGGAATGTCATGGGGGGGTGGGGTTTCTCGGTGCTACAGCCTGCCCCCTCCTTAAAGGGACTTCTCAGCCCCCACGCCTTTTCCTGCCTTCACCATATATTAGTGCTTGAGCCTGGCGGGGGACCCCATGGAAAGTTGGGGAGAAGAGAAACAAGCAGAGACCCTGCCCGTCCAGGTTGCTCACGGGGACTCCCACGCCCACCGTGGACCCTCACCCCATGCCCAGGAGGGGCCTGTGAACGAATTGTGTCCCTACAGAGCGAATAAAGCCAAGGCTTCTTCTCCTGTCGGAGTCAGGCTGTCTTGGGGAGGGCTGTGGTGGGGGTTGCTCCCCCAAGGGAAGGAAGGCCCTGAGCAGGAGGCGGGTCCCCTCCAAACTCCCAGGGGCAGGGGTGGAGTCCATGACTCAATCCAGCCGAGCCTGGTGACTCAGGCCTGGGCTGGGGGCCAGACCGACATATTTTCCGAAGAAAAGTTACCCTGGGGCCCTCCCAGCGGGACATCCCTCCTTCCCATCACCCGCTGCGAGGGCCTGGGAACTGAGCCCTGGGGCGGGAGGTTGTGTGCGCGCGAGAGCTTGGGCACAACGTGCCACCCCCGCCCCCTGCAACTGGGCACTCGCGCAACGTAGGTACACGACTTCTGACACGTAACACGAGGGACAAACGGGCTCCTTGGGGGGGAGGAGGTGACACTGCCGCGAAGACCACCATCATGTGCGCGCGCACGTTCATGCCGTGGGGACTCTCAGGCCTTGTTACGCAGCGAACCCTGGGCTCGCGGCCCCGCGGACTGACCCCCAGGGCCACACCCACAGCGCCCCGGGACAAGCTGGCCCGCGCGCTCTTCCCACCTACTCTCGCCCCGTTTCGCAGCTCCTGTCGCCCTCTGGCGGACACTCGGGAGCTGGACAGGTTGATCGCCGAGACACCTCCCTTACACCCTCTGTCCGAGGTGTACGTGCTCAGGCGTCAGTTCCACCATTCAGTGCCTATCACCTTGCTAACTCTCTGCGCAGGGATCCAGCAGCGTCAGCTGTGTGACCCTCGCATGGCGCCTTCCCTCTCTGTGCCTCTTTCCTTATGAGTGGCGAATGGCCTTTCTGAGGCCCTGGATTCCTTTGGATGGTTGCCAGGGTCCAAGGGCCTCTGAGCTTCCTTCCTTATTTGTAAATAGCAAAGATTAGTTGATTCTAAGATGAAATCTCGGGGGGCGAGGCAGTAACAATAGCTACCACTTAGATGCCAGGCACGGTCTTAAGTGCTTTACATGTTGTTGTTAGGTGCTGTGCACAGCGACCCCATGTGACAGAACAGAGCTGCCCCATAGGGTCTCCTAGGCGGTAGTCTTTATAGAAGATCTCCAGGTCTTTCTCCCACTAAGTTACTGGGTGGGTTCAAACCACCAACCTTTCGGTCAGCAGCCAAGCACTTAACAAGGTGCACCACCAGGGCTCCTTATAATCACACTAGGCAAATGGAATAGTACACCCCCATTTTACAGAAAACAGAGACACAACGAAGTAACCTGGAAAATTAAAGATAAGACTCTGTACTTCCAGGGTTCTAATAGTATACATTTCTCACATCCCTTGAGTAGAACTTCTGTGCGGCCAACCTGGACATTCTTAAAGTTCTTTGATTTTCAAGACTCTAGGATTGGAACACTGAGAGGTCAAAAGTTCTAAAATTGGGAAGTGTCTTGTGCCGCATCTGCCACAGACGGTTGACTTTTCTTTTTTAAGCAAACGAGATTACAGTAAAAAAGAAATTATCTTAAATAATAATAGTCATCATCTTGAGCAAAGATCCAAGGCCGCTAAAAACAGTATCTTGCTTAGGAGAAGAGTCGAGAACCTCGAACCTGCAGCTGCCAGGAAATGTGTAGATTCCGCCGCACAGACAGGAAAAGGGAGGAGCCATTTACCCTTTACCAAGATGGCAGCCTCATTACTCCTCCTGGACGGCAGTAACTTTACAAAGATGGCAGCCACCGGAAGTAGGTCACGGGCGTGGGAGGGAAATCTGCGCGCGCACGCCCCCAACCGGATCTCGGTGCGCTGGTGACCGGATTCTTCCTTTAACAAGATGGCGGCGGGAAGCAGTGGCGGTGGCGGGAGACCGTGCTCGAAGAGCGCGGCCGATTCCGGCTTCCTGGGGCTGAGGCCCACTTCGGTGGATCCGGCGTTGAGGCGGCGGCGGCGAGGCCCACGAAATAGGAAGCGGGGCTGGCGGCGGCTTGCGCAGGAGCCGCTGGCGCTAGAGGTAGATCACTTCCTGGAGGACGTGAGGCTGCAGGAGCGCACACGCGGGTACGTGGGGCGGGACTTCCGGGACTCATGGGGGGTTTTGTGCTGCTCGTCCTTGGGGGACTTTTGGGGGACTTCTGGTGGGGGGGAGGTGGGATCATCTGTCTGAGCACCGCTGGGGAAACTGAGAGGGTGGGCTGGGGACTGTGGATGAGAAGTTGGGGGACATCTGTTCGGCTTGGTAGCGTTCCCAGATTTGCAAATAAAAACACAGGGTGGACAGTTAAATTTGAGTTTCAGATAAACAATTTTTTAATACAAGTAAATGTTTTTTAACTTATTTATGTATTTGTTTTAGGAATGTTCTTAATATAAGTAAGCGAATGTTGTTAGGTGCCGTCCAGTCGATTTCGACTCATAGCCATGTGGAACTGCCCCATAGGGTTTTCTAGGCAGTAACGTTTATGAATATGAAAAATACTGCACGAAACATATACTAGAAAGAGTGTTCTTTATTTATATGAAATTCAAGTTTAACTGGACATACTGTATTTTATCTGGCACCCTAGCTTGATGTGGCTTGACTGTTAAGTCCTGGTAAACTGAGGAGGGAGTCCCGGGGTGGTTCAAAGCGTTAACACTCTGCTAATGCTCGGCTGCTAACGCAAGGTTGGAGGTTTGAGTCCACCCAGAAGCACCTCGGAAGAAAGCCCTGGTGATCTACTGCCAAAAAAATCAGCCATTGAAAACCCTGTGGAGCACTCATGGGGGGCCGCCATGAGTCAGAATTAACTCCACAATTGATCAAACTAAGGGGAGAGGTTTTGTTTTTGGATTTTATTTATTTTGTTGTTGAGATTATACACAGCAAAACATACACCAATTCAATGATTTCTACGTGTACAACTCAGTGACTGATTACATTCTTCAAATTGTGCAACCATTCTCACCCTCTTCTGAGTTGTTCTTCCCCCATTAACATAAACTCACTGCCCCCCTAAGATTTCTGTCTAATCTTTCAAGTTGCTGTTGTCAGTTTGAGCATAATGCTCAAGGCAGACATTCTTTAGTAGTTAAGCTAAACTACTGTTCGGTTTTTAAGAAGACTTCAGGGGATATTTTTGGTTTAAGATTTAAAGATTATCTCAGGGCAATAGTTACGGGGGTTCCTCCAGTCTCTATGGCTCCAGAAAGTCTAGATTCCATGAGAACTTGAAATTCTGTTCTGCGTTTTGAGGGTAGAGGTCTTAGTCCAGAAAGGTCCCCTGGTGGGAAGAGGGGTGTGAATGAGATTAAGAGGAAGATTGGCCCTAAGGGGTTAAACCCGATCCTTCCCTAATGTCTCTGCCTGACACTCTGCTTTTCATCTCCCAGTGGCTTGGTGTCAGAGGCCCCCGATGAAAAACTCTTCTTTGTGGACACTGGCCCCAAGGAGAAAGGTGAGGAGGGGGCTTCGTGGTGTTGTTTGGTTGTTATCTGGCCTACCCTAGCCTCTGATAGGCTCTGTGTTAATGAGGTAACTTGGAAGAAGCCATTTGAGCGTCCACTAAATGTAATCAAATGTATTTAATATAAACAAGAAGACCACCAGTGAGCAGAAAGCAAGCTGGAGATTAACTTAAGGAGTCAGATTTTCTGTAAGACGTCAGAGCTGTCAATACACAGGTAAGCCAGCTGGGGGTCTGCCTTGATGTGTAGGTTAGAAATAAACCAGGAGTTCTGCCGCTGACTTGCAGAAGAGCAAGTCAAGGTTCTGCTTTAAGAAATGAGACCTGCTTCAGTTAATACGATGTTTTGAAAACAAGAGGATCTATTTTAACAAGTAGGTAAGAAGCTAGTTACGACCTGCCTGCTTTATTTTGCCAGAAAACAAGGTTGGGACCTGCTGCAGCAAGTGGACAAGAAGCAAGTTAGGGATTGCTTTAATGCGTCATGGGACTTCAAAACAATATATAGAAAAACAGAGTTGAGAACAGGCGATGTGCTTTAAAGAGGAGACAGAAAACAAGCTGGAGTCCTTGGGTGGTGCAAACGTTTATGTGCTTGGCTGCTAACCAAAAGGTTGGAGGATCTTGTCCACCCAGAAGCTTCTTGGAAGAAAGGCCTGGCAATCTGCTTTTGAAAAACTAGCCATTGAAAACCCTGTGGAGCACAGTTCTACTCTGACACACATGGGGTCAACATGAGTTGACTTGATGGCAGCTGGATAGAAAACAAGCTAAGAGGCATGCTCTAACAGAAAGCTTGCTAGCTTTTTTTTTTTTTTTTTCAATATTATGCTTTTCATGAAAGTTTACACTGTAAGTTAGGTTCCCATTTTACAGTTTCTATACAAATTGTTCAGTGATGTTTACATTTGTCACAATGGGTCAACATTGTCTTTAATTGCGGTCTGGTGTTTCCGTTTCTAGTGTTCTAGTTTCCCTGCCCCTTTATCTTCTCATCTTTGCTTTAGAGTAGTTGTTGACCGTTTGGTCTCCTATAGATGATCTTTTAGTAGAAAACCATACTCCAGATAATATGCTTTATTTTGTGTGCTGATTTGTGAGTGCGCTAAAGGGTGATCTGAGGATAGTTTCGGTTCAAGGTTTAAAGAGCATCTCGGGGCGATAGTCTCAGGGAGTCCTCTGGTCTCAGCTGGTCTAGTAAGTCTGGACTTTTTAAGAATTTGCGTCCTGTTCCATAGTTTTCTCTCCTTCTGTCAGGGTCCTTCTATTGTGGCCCTGATCAGAATGGTGGGTAGTGGTAGCAGGGCACCATCTAGTTTTTCTGGTCTCAGGGTAGATGAGGCCATGGCTCGTGTATGCAGTTAGCCCTGTAGACTATTAAACCCGATAGTTTTAATGAGCAAAACAGCAAGCTGCTTTAACAGTGGGGCTCCTTCTCTGAGCTTGCATTAAAGCAGCAAGAGCTGACCCATTGCCGTGGAGTCGATCCTGACTCATAGCGACCCTGTAGGGCAGAGTAGAACTGCCCCATAGGGTTTCCGAGGCTGTAATCTTTATGGCAGTAGACTGCCACATCTTTCTGCCACAGAGCGGCTGGTAGGTTTGAACACTGACCTTTCGGTTCGTAGCCAAGCGCTTAACCACTGGACCACCAGGGCTCCGGGGGTCTGTTTTAATAAGGAGAGAGCACCTGTCTCGGTGAGCAGACAGGCAGTCTGAGGACCTGCTTGGAGGCGTAGGAGATTGAATGAGCAGGTCAGGAATGGTTATTAAAGAAGTCAGCTTTAACAAAAATGAGGAGATCTGGTGTTTGAACAGAAAGGGAGGAGGTCAGGGCCCTGCCCTAATGAACAGATGAGTGAGTAGGTGGAGCCTGCTCACGTGAGTCAGGAGTCCTTTAGGGAGCTGAAGAGAGGCAGTTTACAGCTTCCACTTCAGTAAAAGAGAGAAGGTAGAAAGATAGTGGTGATCGTAAGCATTCACAGGTGAGACTGTGCTTTGTGCTCCTGAATAATTCAGTCCCCACAGCACCTTAGGAGCCAGGTATTCATATTCTCAGGAGTCCCTGGGTGGTGCAAACGTTTAAGTGCCCGGCTACTAACCAAAAGGTTGGTGGTTCAAATCCACTCAGAGGCACCTTGGAAAACAGGCCTGGCGATCTGCTTCTAAAAGGTCACAGCCATGAAAACACTGTGGAGCACGGTTCTACTCTGCACACGTGGGGTTGCCATGAGTTGGAATCAACTCGATGGCAATGAGTTTGAATCTTCCGGAAGTAGATTGACAGGCGTTTCTTCTGCATTGCCGCTGGGTGAATTTGAACCGCCAGACTTGAGGCTCGTAGCCAAGCTGCAAACCGTTTGCACCACCCAGGGACCTTGCATGGCCATTAAAAACCCTACGGAGCACAGTTCTACTCTGCAACATGTGGGGTCGCCGTGAGTCGGAATGGACTCGAAGGCAGCTGAGTGGCTGGCATTTGTATTCTCACGTTGGCGACACAGAGTAGTGGAGTCACTTGCACGAAGTCCCCCAGTAAGCAGGTGGGTAAGGACTCTGGCCTAGTGTGTTCTGATCTGGAGTCCTTTTAACTGTCAGGCTTTAGAAGTAAAAGGTGGAGGAGGCTGTGCTGAGAATTGTCCATCTTGTGGTCATCCATGACCGTCTGCTCTTCTCCTCGTGCACGTTCCTGGTCCTGTGGCTGTTTCCCTGCTGCTGCGTCTGGGACACCTTCATGTGCAGGGCCATCGCTCAGACTCCCACTGTGTTCCCAGCACAGAGCCTGCCTCCTGCTGGCCCAGAAAGGGGTGTGGGTCAGAAGTTGGGCAGCCTTGAGCCCGGCCCTGGGAGCCTCTCCCTTCAGGTGGGGGCCTGGCGTCAGCCTGGAGACCTCCCAGTCTGTCCTGGGGTGCAGGTGTGATGGCTCCGCTGCAGCCCGGATGGGGGAGGCATTTTGGGCTGCAGGAGGGCTGAGGCCTTGCCTCTCCGTTCTCCCACTGCCAGACCTGAAGAAGAGGACGAAAGGCCAGAAGAAGTCGCTGCTCCTCAGGAAACCCCTCCGAATCGACCTCACCCTTGAGAACACATCCAAGGTCCCTGCCCCCAAAGAGTGAGTGTCCTCCACCCCTGACCCTCCTTGCCCACCAGGTCCCAGCCTTGTGCCCTTCTCCACAGCAGCCCCTACCTACTGCTTGGCCCTAAAGGGATTCTGGGGTGGAGGGGTGTAGGTGAGAGTCATGGGCAGGGTATCAGATTTGGGCTTTGGAAAACCCTGGCTGCCGGATGGAGCGCAGATTGGAGGGAGTAAGCCTGGAGGCCTGGGTGCTGTGTTCAAGGTCAGTGAGGATGAGGGTCAGGACCAGGCCTGGGGCTCTGGGGGTGAAGAGGAGAGGGGATGGGGCGGAGCCTCATATAGGAGGCAGGCCAACAGGCTGAGTGATTGGCCACTGGAGAGGGGAAGGGAAGCTTCCCCAGACAGGGTGGATGGGGGCTGGGTGACTGGGTGATGGGGTACGCGAGGTAGAGAGCTGGGAGAAGGGCTGGGTTCAGGGGTGATGCGGAGGTGGATTTGATGTGTCAGGCGCCTGGGTGACAGTGAGCGTCTGGGAGGCTGTTGTATTGGCCAGTCTGGGGCTCAGGTGTCTGAAGCCGGGGCATGGCATGGGGAGTGGGAGGGGCCACCTTTTAGGGGGCTCTTGGGAGAGGGGATGCTGGAGAAGGAGCTCCAGAGTGGTGGTGGGGGCTGGGTGGCAGGGTCAGCGAGTGGAGCCAGGGGATCCTGACCCACCTGCCTCACCGACCTGCCTCTCCCCGACCCAGCATCCTTGCCCACCAGGTCCCCAACGCCAAGAAGCTCAAGCGGAAGCAGCAGCTATGGGAGAGGCTGGCCAAGCAGGGTGAGGTGCCCCGTGAGGTGCGCAGGGCCCAGGCCCGGCTCTGCCACCCCCCCACTGCCAAGGCCAAGCCTGGGCCACAGGACACCGTCGAGCGGCCCTTCTACAATCTCTGGGCCTCAGACAGTGAGTGACCCTGCTCTCACCTTGGGGTGGTGGGTAAGGGCCGCCGTGGGCAGCTGTGCAGGTCGCTCTGCACAAGAGCCCCACGTCTGTGGGGCTGCCCTGTGGGCATTGCTTTGATGGTCTTCTAACAGTCAGGTGTCTTGAGGTAGTGCTGTTTTCACATCTGCCCCTCAGCCTTGGGTCTCTGCATTCTGGATGCTGTCCAGACGCTGTTTGCCCTGTCGTTCGAGGCCCCTTGTGGACCATAATCGGTCCCTCTCAGCTGTGCTTCAATGCCCTTGTTCTTGAAATGAAGGACTGGAGGGAGCTCCTGGGACGTGACCCTTTGCTTTGCTAGAAAGCCCCCAGCAGCCCCTCCCTGTCCCTGCAGACCCTCTGGACCAGCCGCTGGTAGACCAGGACACCTTCTTCCTGGAGCAGACCAAGAAGAAAGGAGTCAAGGTGGGAACGTGCCACAAGGGTGTGCTGGGTGACTGCAGCTCTGCGGGGGCGAGTGCTGGGAACTGTCCGGGGTCGGAGCTGGGAAGGATGCATTTGGGCCAGAGTCTGTACTTCATAGCCGGGCTCCCAGTGACCAGAACCTGCCTGGGGGCTAGGTTCTCTAGGCTCCAGTTCCAGCCCGGCACTGCTGGTCCCTGGAAGGTGCCTTATGTTTTCAGGCCTCTGTCCCTTTACCTGTGAAATGCTGTGATAGCAGTGCTTAGTTTCTGGGGTGGTTGGGAGAATTTAAAGCGCTAACACCAGAAAGGCCCTGCACAGGCCCGGCGGGCAGCAAGCGTGGTAGAAGCCTTGCTGTTTCTGTGTTCAGTTTGTAGCCTCCTTCTTCATCTTGAGCTGGTGGAACCCACGGGCTTCAGAGTCTCCTGGGCCTGCCTACACTCACCCTGCTCCATAGGGTTTTCCGTGGTTGATTTTTTGGAAGTAGATTACCAGGTGTTTCCTTTGAGGCACCACTGGGTGGACTCGAACTGCCAGCCTTTTGGCTAGCAGCCAAGCTTGTTAACTGCACCACCCGGGGACTTCTAAACCAGTCGCTATCAAGTCGTCTCCGACTCATGATGACTTCATATGTTTCAGAGTACAACTGAGCTCCAGAGAGTTTTCAATGGCTGATTTTTTGGAAGTAGATCACCAGGCCTTCCTTTTGAGGCACTTCTGGGTGGACTTGAACCTCCAGCTTTTCAGTCAGCAGCCGAGCGCATTAACTGTTTACCACCCAGGGACACATCCCCTAAGGAGATGGTGCTAATCAGGGTTAGAGCCCTGGAGGAGGTGAGGGAGCCGCTGTGCAGATGTCTGAGGGGAGAGTCTTCCAGCTTGGGGAACAGCATGTGCAAAGGCCCTGAGGGGGGCCAGCAAGTTCCAGCGAGGAGGCCTATGTGATTGGGGAGGTCAGGGAGAAAGCTGAGGCTGATGGCGGGTTTTATTTTAAGTGCAGGGGAGCCACCACAGGGTTTTGCACAGGAAAGAGAGCATCCGGGTGGCTGTCCCTGGGAGACTGGATTATAGTGGAGCAGGTGTGCAGGGCCAGGGAAGAGGCGGAGTGACCCAGGACAGTATCCTAGGGCAGAAATGCCAGGACTGGCTGGTGGTTTGGGGAGGGGAGGGGAGGGGCGGGGAGACATCCAGGGTGAGCCCCAGGCTTCTGCTCCATTAGCTGGTGGCCAGCAGGGCCTCGGCTGGGGTGGACCGGATGGGGTGGGATGAGGGCGGTGTGAAAGCAACAGGCTGCAGAGCAGTGCTACCCCAACGTGACTTCACCGAGGGCTCTGGTGAAAATGTAGCTTCTGATTAGCAGGTCCCGGGTGGACCTGGGATTCTGCATTTCTCACCAGCCCCTGGGGGTCCGCGGGCCATCCGGAACAGCAAGGGTGTCGACACTGCAGTGGCCTTGGTCACCTTCATCAGCCCTGCCCTGCTGAGAGACCAGGAAACCCCACTTGCTTTATAAGCAGGGGCGCGGATGGCGGGCTGAAAGCAAACCAGGACCTACCTCACCGTCTCTTTTCTTGCACGTGTCACCAGTCCAGCCCTCAGCGCCGTAGGGTACTGTGTGGCCTCTTCCCAGGAACGACCGGCGAGGCTCCACCTCAGGAACCCGCTCATCCTCAGCTGTGCAACCCCTCGGCCGCCAGATATCCCTTGTTCAGGATGCTGCTGGGCTTTGGGCAGGCTCCCAGGGCTCCATGGTGAGGGCCCGCACGGTCCCTCGCTGCTTCTCGAGCCTGGAGTCAGCACCATGAGTTGTGGAACTGGAGCCACGGGGCTCCTGGGCCTCACCCTGCCTGGCCTTGTCTTCCTTCAGCGGCCACAGCGTCTCCTCACCAAGCCCTCCCAGGTGCCTGCCGTGGAGGTGACACCCGCTGGAGCCTCCTACAACCCGTCCTTCGAGGACCACCAGGTATGCAGCCCTGGCCACGGAGGGGTGTGGAGACAGGACAGATGGGAGGTGAGGTGGGTTAGGACTCAGCACCACCCAGGAGAAGGCCCTGGAGTCAAGCGCCTCAACTCCTACCCCTGCTCCCTCAGGCCCTGCTCCGGGCGGCCCACGAGGTTGAGCTGCAGCGGCAGCAGGCGGCACAGAAGCTGGAGCGGCAGCTGGCCCTGCCCACTGCTGAGCAGGCTGCGACCCAGGTGAGCCCAGCCTATCCCCACCCTCCCTCCCTGCCCACCTCGCCCTCCGCCCTGACTCTCTCCCCCACCCCCAGGAGTCCTCGTTCCGGGAGATGTGCGAGGGGCTGCTGGAGGAGTCGGATGGGGAGGGGGAGCCGGGGGAGAGCCAGGGGCCCGAGACTGGAGGAGACCAGGCTTTGCCTGCATCCCCCCGCCTGGCCACTGCTGAGAAGAAGACGGAGCAGCAACGGCGCCGGGAGAAGGCTGCCCGGACCCTGGTGAGCACCACGGGCTCGGGATGGGTCTCTGCTGCCTGCAGCCTGCCTTCTAATCCCCACAGCCTGCTTTCTGTGCTGTTCGGGGTTCTGCTTTGTTGCCTGGGGACTATTTCCCAGTGTCCTCCAGGTGGCCACCAGGCACCACTCCAGGCTCAGGGGATACAGCAGGGACCCACTAGAGGAAGCCCCTGCTGGGGGGGTGGGGCTTACGGACCCCAGACAGACAGATGGATGACAAGGTAGTTGCAGAGAAAACCTGCTGTGAAGAAGCTAGGGCAGCCAGCGTGTCGCCTGGGGAGCGGGTGGGCAGGGAAGGCCTCCTGGTGAAGGGGCCCAGAGTGGGGGGGAGGAGTGAGCCCCTGATCTCCTGGTCCCTCCCACAGCGGGTGCAGCGGGCTGCACAGCGGGCCGCCCAGCTCCGGCACCAGCAGCTCTTCCAGCTGCGCGGGATCAAGGCCCAGGTGGCGCAGCGGCTGGCAGAGCTGGCGAGGCGGCGGGAGCAGCGGCGGTTGCAGCGGCTGGCTGAGGCGGACAAGCCCCACAGGCTGGGGCGGCTCAAGTGAGGCCCCTGGGAAGCCAGGCTGGGAAGGGAGACCCAGGGTGGGAGACCAGAAGGGGGCCTGAGGGATGGCTGGGAGGGGACTCTGTGGGCGGGGGAAGGCCAGGATGGGGTCCCGGAGGCAGGGAAACTAAGGAGGAGGACGGGAGCGGGGTGGGGAGTTCACCAGGCAGGAGGTCTCAGGGCTCCGTTGCCCACCTCTGGTGCCTGGTCCTGCCTCTGCTCGGGCTGTGCTCCCCTGGGAGGTGGCATCTCGTCTCCCTGTAACCCTGCTGTTTGGGGCCCCATGCTGGCGCACTCCTCCCAGGGGGGCTCTGGGCTCTGAGTGGGGCTCTGCCGTGGGCTGGTCCTGAACCCCACTACCCTGTACTCTGCAGGTATCAGGCCCCTGACATCGATGTGCAGCTGAGCTCGGAGCTGTCAGACTCGCTTCGAACCATGAAGGTGCCTGCCATGGTGGGCGGGGTGGGGGGGCCTGGGGCTGTGGGGACACTGTGCCCACTGATGATACCCATCCTTGCTCCCCGTGCCCCCCCAGGGCTGTGGGCGACACAGTGGCTCCCCTGGGCTGGCCGGTTGGGCCATTGCCCGGGGGCTGAGGGCACGGGCTCCAGAGATGGGGTGCCAGCGGGGAGAGACGGGGTGGTTTGGGCCTAGATACATAGGAGGCACTTGCTCCCAGCCCCTGCCCTCCCCAAATCTCACCCTCTTTGGTCCTCAAGGGGTGTTCTTTACTTTAAAAAGTATTTTGTTACGTCTCTGTGAAAGTTTATACAGTAAACTAGGTTCCATTTGACAGTTTCCACACAGATAGTTCAGTGACGTTAGTTACAGTTTTCACAATGTGTCAACATTCTCTTTGGGTTCTGGTTGTTCTATTTCTAGTACTCTAGTTTCCCTGCTCCCTTATCTTCTCATCTTTGTTTTAGAGTAAATGTTGATCTTTTGGTCTCATACAGATAGTTTTTTAGTAGGGGACTGTTCTCATGGGTAATATTCTTATTTTGTGTGCCACTCTGTTATTTCACTAAAAGGTGACCTCAGGGATTAGTTGTCGGTTCAAGGTTTAAAGAGTATCTCTGGGCGATAGTCTCTGGTCTCAACTGGTCCAGTAAGTCTGGCTTTTTTTAAGAATTTGAATTTTGTTCTACATTTTTCTCCTGTCCTACCTGGAACCATCTGTTGTGACCCCGGTCAGATGTGTCAATTCTGGTAGCTGGGCACCATCTAGTTTTTCTGGTCTCAGGGTAGATGAGGCTGTGGCTTGTGTAGGCTGTGAGCCTTGTAGACTTGTTTCTTCTCTGAGATTTTGATTAGCCTCTTATTCTTTTGCTCTTGGCAGGTAGAGGCCAATAGTGTATCTTAGATGGCTGTTTCCAAGCTATTAAGACCCCAGATGTTACTCGCCAAACTAGGATGCAGAACAGAAACTTTGTGCATTATTTTATGCCAGTTGACTGAGTTGTTCTCAAGGGGTTTTTTTACAGCACAGACATGCCTCTCAGCTCAGAACCTGGGCTGGCTCCTCTCCAGGCCTGCGGGCTCCAGCCTGGCCTTGTGCTCTGACCAGCTGGGCCTCGTCAGGGCTGTGCACCCTCCCTCTGACCCCTGCTGCGCCCTGTGTCTGGCCCCTCTCCTGCCCTTCACCAGCCTCGTTCCTGTTTATTTCTCAAAACAGCTCTTGAGGCTGCTGTGTATGAGTCCTGACCACCCCCCAGGCTTAGCCCCATGCATGCAGAGCCAGCAGGGTGGGGGGCCTGGCTGGCAGGGAGGCTGCGGGGGCTGAACCCTGGCTGGTCACCGTGTAGGGTCAGTGACCTCAGGTCCCACCAGGCCCCCACTGAGGCCTCCCTTTCCTTGTCCTGCAGCCCGAGGGCAACATCCTCCGCGACCGATTTAAGAGCTTCCAGAAAAGGAACATGATTGAGCCTCGGGAGAGAGCCAAGTGAGGCCGGGGCCACCGCGGGGGCGCTGAGGGGCAGCTGGGGACTCCCTCCCACAGCGTGGGGGCTTGCAGGTCACTGACTGCCCTCTCTTCCCTTCCCCAGGTTCAAGCGCAAGTACAAAGTGAAGTTGGTGGAGAAGCGGGCATTCCGCGAGATCCAGTGAGTGCTGCTTCCCTCCCTGGGCCTTGCCCTTGTCCTCTCCAGCCAGGCTCCTCTTGGCTGAGCCAGAAGCACAGCTCCAACTCGGGCAGGGGCCCTTCCCAAACCCAGCAGCGGCGGGGAGCCACACTAACTTGGGGAAGTCCGGAAGAGGGAGGAGGGCGAAGAGAAACCAAAAGGCCCAAACCAGAGGAGTGTGTATGGCAGGCAAGAACAAGGGGTGCCCTCTCCCCTCGTCCACTCTCAGCTCCCTCTTCTCTGTCCGCAGGTTATAACAGCCACTGGATGCCTGCATCCCCAGTCTTTAATAAAGCATCTTCTGACGTCACCTCAGGCTTTGTGTGCAGCGCGCCTCGCTCCTGTGGGCAGCTTCATGCTCTCCTCTTCTCCACGTGGTCTCTCCATACATCTCCCACCAGGGCTTGGGGCCATAGCTGCAGAGCGCTTATCTCCACCAAGGCCTGTGACCTCAGGGTGGGTCAGATGGCCGTCAGCAGCCGGGGTCCTGGCCCACCCAGATAGCGGGACGATGGGCAGCCACCCCAGGACTGAAGGGACACTTAAAAGGTAGATAGGGCCGGGTTGAGGATCGACTGGATGTGGGGGGCGAGGGAGGGAGATGGCGAGGTCAACACCTGGATCTCCCACTTGGATAACAGCCCACTTCTTTCTGCCACAGGATGGGGGTAATGAGAAGCCAGTTTTGATCGCAGTTTTTATGGCATTAATGGTGGTGGTGTCAGCTGCCGTGGCGACCCCATTGTAACGCAACTGTGTCTGAAGTCCTCTAACTTCACAAGGGGGAAGGAGAATCAGCATCAGCCCCAAGCTGATTCGTCTGATGTGGCGGTCAGACACACCTTCACCCTTCAAACCTTTTATCAGCTCTTCCTGCCACGGCACTCTCTGCTTCTCTTCTGGGTTTGATAAGTCATTGCAGTGACCACACACAACTCACAGACCATACTCATAGTTACAGGGCTTATTAGGAAAGCACCCATTACCATCAAGTAGATCCAACTTAGCAACCCTACAGGGCAGAGTAGAACTGCCCCATACAGTTTCCGAGGCTGTAATCTTTACGGAAGCAGGTGCCACATCTTTCTCCTGTGCAGCGGCTCATGGGTTTGAGCTGCCGACCTTTCAGTTAGCAGCTGAGCGCTTAACCACTGGCCTTATTAGGAGAGTAACAAGTTACAATTCATAATCAGGGTCAACTTGCAAGTTACAAGAACAACTCAGGAGACATGATACAGTTTGTCAGTCAGGACAGCTTCCAAGCAGGATAGCTCTCAGCTTCTCAGCCACGCCCACAGGCAGGCGAGCTTGGACCTCCGCTGTGGGCCCTGGGCCAGCGTTAAGCTCTTCTGCCTGCGCCATCAAGTGCCTGAGGCACTGCACTCTGCCACTAAAGCTGCCTGAAGGCGCTCAGCTCTCTGGCTCGCGTGTTGGCAAGCCCACTGCAGTTGCCTTACTGTGAAGGCTGAGAAGCTCACAGCTGCCTTACTCTGCAGGATGCGAAGCTCACCACAGCTGTCTCGCACCAGTGGTCTGGTTCTTCCTGCTCATACTGTCTCATGCTGTCTCCAGCGTTACAGCTCTTTTTGTCTCCTGGGTCTAGGAGGTTCTCAGTGCAGGGACCCCAGGTCCCAAAGACACGTTGTGTTACAGGTTCTTCTTGATGTTAGTGAGGTTCTCCCTTTACCTTTGTGGGATCAGCTATTCTAAGCCTAGCAGGATGGCAAAACTGCTTTAGGCGGGGTTCTCTGGAGAAGCAAAACCAGTGAATTGCGTGTGTGTGTGTGTGTGTGTTTATATATGTGGCAGGCAGTATAACGGAACTGGCTTAAGTCCCAAGAACTGGAGGTCAGATGGTGACGAGCTGGATGCAGGATCCAGAGCAAGCAAAAGTGCTTTGCCAGAACGTCCATATATATATATATATATATATTTTGGATGCAGGCCACACCCCTGAGGAAACTCTCCTCACAACTGATTGGCTGATGACATGGAGGATGACTACATCATTACAGAAATGCCAGACCACTGAGGATCGTGGCCCAGCCACGTTGACACACAATCACTGTTCACCCATTGTCAACTTGGCACCTGTACACATCTCCTGAAACCACACACAACCTCCAAATAAAGACAATTACAAAGTTATGCTTGGGCCTAACGATAAAACTAACGTATGTACAAGTGAAAATGCACTAGCCCCATTTACATCTTAAATTTTTTATAAGTGAAGAAAACAAATAGTTGATGCACACATACAAGGAAGAAATACTCAACAATTAACATTGCTCGTTTCTGCAACTGGTGGTGTGGTTATAACTCGTATTTAGAACTACCTTCCTCCACCATGCATTATGTACTCCCTTTACCCTCAGTAAGCACCTCAGTTGGTCATGGTTCTTAGCCTGGTGGGGTAACCCCAACCATTCCTGAAGGGTCTGGGCCATTACTAGTCATGTTGGAATTGGGTTGCTGTAGTTTTCCACTGACTTTAATCACGGCATGGTAGTACTAAGAGACACTCTATGGGATCTTCTGTATTCCAGATATACTTTTCTTTACGTCCATTATGCAACATCAATCCAATTTCCCCTTGGTAATCAGGGTCAGTTACACCAGTCAATATGGTAACTCCCTTCTTTGCCTGTTGATCCAGAGGCACGAGGAGGCCAAAGTGGCTGGGTGATATTCTTAATTTCCAGTTCAATGGAATCAGTGTTCTGTCTCCAGGTGGGAGCATTTCTACCTTTGGAACTAAGACCACTACACTAGCAGCGCATAAGGTCTAGGTTTGTGAGGACAGCAAAAAAAATTTGTGAGTCACTAGTGAGTGGTGTCACTTCCATTTCCATCCCTTGATTCCTGGACCCATGACACCTGGCTATGGGAGAAATAGCACCATATATGAGACACTAGAGCATATACAGCCTCCTGGAGAAGATTGCCCCAACCCAGCAAAGTGTTGCCGCCTAGCTGGTGCTGTAATTGTGTCTTTAGAAGGCCATTCCATCATTCTATCAAGCCAGCTGCTTCAGGATGTTGGGGAACATGGTAAGAAAGACCAGTGAATTCCATGAGCATGGGTCCATTGCTGCGCTTCATTTGCTGTGAAGTGAGTCTCGATCTGAGGCAATGCTGTGGGATACCGTGACAGTGGATAAGGCATTCTGTGAGTCCACAGATGGTAGTTTTGGCAGAGGCATTGCCTGAAGGGAAGGTAAATCTGTATCCAGTGTGTCTATTCCAGTAAGAACAAAACACTGCCCTTTGATGATGGGAAGTGGTCCAGTGTAATCAATAAGCCATCAGGCTGCTGGCTGATCACCTTAATGAATGGTGCCATACTGGGGACTTAGTGTTGGTCTCTGCTGCAGGCAGAATGGGCATTCAGCAGTGGCTGTAGCCAAGACAGGCTTGGTGAGTGGAAGTCCATGTGGCTGAGCCCATACATAACCTCCATCCCTGCCACCATGGTGACTTTGTTCCAGAGCCCATTAAGCAATGACAGGAGTGACTGGGGGAAATATGACTGGTTTCCACAGAACGTGTCATCCTATCCACTTGATTGTTAAAATCCTCCTCTGCTAAGGTCACCGTTTGGTGAGCATTCACATGAGACACAAATATCTGCACTTTGGCCCACTGAGAGACGTTTAGCCACATACCTCTTCCCTATACCTCCTTGTCTCCAATTTTACAATCATGTTCCTTCCAAGTCCCTGGCCATCCAGCCAAAGAATTAGCCACAGCCCATGAATCAGTATACAATCATGCATCTGGCCATTTCTTCTTCCAAGCAAAGTGAACAAACAGGTGCACTGCTCGAAGTTCTCCCCATTGAGAGGATTTCCCTTCATTACTGTCCTTCAGGGAGGTCCCAGAAAGGGGCTGTAGTGCTGCAGCTGTCCACTTTCGAGTGGGGCCTGCATATCTTGCAGAACCATCTGTAAACCAGGCATGAGTGTTCTCTTCCTCAGTCAACTGATCATATGGGGCTCCCTATAAGGCCGTAGGTGGAGACTGTGAGAAGGCAGGTAACGTGACAGGAGTGGAGAACATGGGCATTTCAGCCACTTCGTCATGTAACTTGTGTCTTCAGGTCCTGCTCAGGCCCGATCTCGTATACGCCACTTCCATTGAATGATGGAGTGCTGCTGTGCATGCCCAACTTTATGACTCTGTGGGTCAGATAACACCAAGTTCATGATGGGCAGCTCAGGCCACATGGTGACTTGGTGGCCCATGGTTAAGCGTTCAGTCTCTGCTAAGGCCCAGTAACAAGCAAAAAGCTCTTAAAAGGAGAGTAGTTATCTGCAGAGGATGGCAGGGCTTAGCTCCGAAATCCGAAGGGTCTGCACTGTGATTCACCAATAGGGGCCTGCCAAAGACTCCAAACAGCATCTGTGTCTGCCAATGACACTTCAAGAGCCACTGGATCAGCTGGATCATATGGTCCAAGTGGCAGAGCAGCTTGCACAGCAGCCTGAACCTGTTGCAGAACCTTCTCTTGGTCTGGGCCCCACTCAAAACTAGCAGCTTTTGGAGTCCCTTGATAAATAGGCCAGAGTAGCACATCCGAATGAGGAATATGTTGCCTCCAAAATCCAGAAGCGCACAGTCTCCTTTTTAGTTGTAGGAGGGGCCAGATGTAACAACTTATACTCCACTTTAGAAGGAATGTCTCGACATGCTCCACACCACTGGACCCCCTAGAAATTTCACTAAGATGGAAGGCGCCTGAGTTTTTGTGGAAATAATTTCCCACCATCTCACACGCAAATGTTTTACCAATAAGTCCAGAGTCATTGACGTTTGTTCCTTCCCAGGTCCAATCAATGTAATGTCATCAATGTTATGGACCAGAGTAATGTCTTGTGGAAGGGAAAGGCAATCACGGTCCCTGTGGACTAAATTATGACATAGGGCTGCAGAGTTGATATACCCCTGAGGTAGAAAAGTGAAGACGTATTGCTGGCCTTCCCAGCTGAAGGCAAACTGCTTCTGGTGTTCCTTTGAAACTGGAATAGAGAAAAAGACATTGGCCAGATCAACAGCTGCATACCAGGTATCCAAACAAAACCCACTGCCGTTGAGTCAATTTCTACTCATAGGGTCCCTAAAGGACAGAGAACTGCCCCATAGGGTTTCCAAGGCTGTAAATCTTTATGGAAGCAGACTGTCACATCTTTCTCCCTCAGAGCAGCTGGTGGGTTCTAACCACTGACCTATCGGTTAGCAGCTGAGGGCTTAACCACTGTGCTATCAGGGTTCCTTTAGTCCTTTAGCGAAGGAAAGTACAGTAATTAAGGCTTTTGATACTTATTTCTGGTAGAGTGTGTGTGTGTGGCTTAAGCTGGAGGTAAAAGGATTCCACTGTGATTCACTTTTACATTCCCAGTTCCTCGTACACTTTCTGACCCATAGCGCAGCAGCAAATCCTACTGAATGATGATAATTAGTCAAATGGTGGCTATTTAGGAGGTAGAAAGTTAAAATGCTGGATTGCAATATAGTCTGGACAAAGGAATGAGGTTTATAGAAAAAAATAATAGCACAGTGGTTAAAGCATGGGCTTTAGTACTGGCTGCTCTGCTGACTCACTGGGTAACCTTAGCTGTTTTAGCTAACATCTCTGTACTTTATAGATTTCTCATCTGTAAAATGCAGATAACAGCACACCTTCGATAGGGTTGTTGAGAGAGTTAAATGAGAGAATGCAATTAAGAAGCCCAGTGCTAGGACTGGCGTGGGGTAAGCATTCACTAAACATTAGCCACTACCGCCAGACTGTCTCAGTTATCTTTTGCTGAGTAGCAACACGCCCCACCTATCCCCCTCTACATTTATTGGCTTAAAACAGCAACAATGTATTGTTTTGTGGGTTGACTGCTGGAGTCTTCTGTGGTTCTCACCTGGGATCACTCATGTGGTTGTCACAGATAGACTAGGGCTGGATAATCCAAGTGGCCTCACTCATGTGTCTGGAGGTGCTGGCTATTGGCCAAAGCTTTCTCTCCAGGTGGCTAGCCCAGACT